GGACATTCCCGTTCGAAAGTGCTGGAGACGCTGTAGTACATATGCCAGGCCTGTAGATGGTGCTGTTCTGCCCTTATCTGCCCTTACAAACACAGAGCTAAAACATGTCAAATTGAGCAAAATGAGGCATGGCTAAAATGCATGATCTGTTTGGTATTTTGCACAAAAAAAAAGTATAAATATGCCTTATATAGGTATGGTCCTACACTATATTATTCAAATATAGCATGATAGGTCCACTTTAAGTGCTTTTATGTGTTTGTGCATAGCCATGTGTGTATGTGTGTGTTTGTGTGCTCGTGTTATTGTGATTACTGGCATTCTCGTAAGCAGCCAAAAAGCATAATTTGAGGAAGTTGATGATTGAACTACAGGGTAACATTTCTGGCTTGCATGACACTTCATAAGAAGGAAACAAAAACATCACCCCACACCAGAAATGTTCACATTAGCTCCTTTTGGTTTGTTTTGTGTTGCCATGTCGTGTTCAGCCTTACCCAATGAAAAGCAATCCACTATCCACCTACAACCTACAATCTGTTAGGTGATCAACAATCAGATACATTTGATGAAAAGAAACAATATAACTGAGAACTGTGTGTGTGTGTGTGTGTGTGTGTGTGTGTGTGTGTGTGTGTGTGTGTGTGTGTGTGTGTGTGTGTGTGTGTGTGTGTGTGTGTGTGTGTGTGTGTGTGTGTGTGTGTGTGTGTGTGTGGTGTGTGTGTGTGTGTGTGTGTGTGTGTGTGTGTGTGTGTGTGTGTGTGTGTGTGGTAGAGGAACAGCTTGCCATTAATCTTTCACACAGAGGATTGGGGAGGCAATCTGTTGGCTATCATAGATGATACATGACCCGCGATAGAATGATTCGCCTGTTGCATACCAACACAAATGACAGCACCACACAGGCTGCACACACATTCACACTGCCACAAGAACCAAGGACGTCACTCTCCAAGCTCACCCACGTACACCAAGGTGCACACGCGGCCTGATTGATTCAAGCATGCGCCGTCCCTTTCCAGATGGTAAACATGTTTCCAACTTCGATCCAAGGCCAAACACCGGGGAAGACCTCCTCCTTCTCCCTTTTTTCATTCACATTCTGTACAGGCGCACACACACACACACACACACACACACACACACATAACTCTAGTGCGACACATAGAAAGAGTTATGTAGTTAATCATGTCCTCACCCAATCCTTTTATTATTTCCTCTGTCGGCTGTTTGTCTTTCATAAGAACCATTTTTCTTGGATTACAAACTCATAAAAACCATATACTATATTGCCTCCCCTAATCATGTGATATAGCAACATTAATGGATTAGTTTACACTGGGATTTATTTGATCAGCGTCTGTTTTACCATTTACCTGAACTTAAGTTTACAAGATAAGAGGACGGTGTCTGTTGAGGCGGATACATTTCAAGAAACTTTGAGTCTAATCTTGTTGTCGCTGTGCTAAATAAGTTTGATATAAAAGTGCTCCGTATGCATTCACCTGCTGCAGGTGAATTTATGGCGCTCAGGAAACTCATCTGTCAAACAAATAACTTCAAACACCTAGATAAGCAGTTTTATGTTGATGAGTTCATTTCTATGAGATGACAACAGACATTTATCTTCACACATAAAAAAAACTTTTAGTAGCTTTGTCTTGCTGCAGACAAACTCCAGTCAAAAATGTGAGCTCACTCTGCCAACTCAGAATGAGCTCATTTTCACATTTCCTCATAACACATGCAAGTAGACAGAATACTCCACACACTAGCTTATGAATGCTAAATAGGAGTAATTTAAAGTGAAGTGTTACCAGAATACTCAATGTATCTAAAGCACAGGCTACAGAAATAGACATGGTCCCTAAACACTCCACTGCGGTCACCCACTAGGGATTGGCCAGTTATCGCCCCCCATCCCCTCTCTCTCTCTCTCTCTCTCTCTCTCTCTCTCTCTCTCTCTCTCTCTCCTCTCTCTCTCTCTCTCATCTCTCTCTCTCTCTCTCTCTCCTCTCTCTCTCCTCTCTCTCTCTCTCTCCTCTCTCTCTCTCTCTCTCTCTTGAATTCCAATGGCTTTATCCATATGACCATAATGCCTTACATTATTTGCAATGAATTGTACAAATATGAACAACTTCAAAAACCATATACATACACATACATACAACAAAAACAACTCATTACTTAAAGGTAGGGTAGGTACGTTTGAGAAACCGGCTCGAGATCGCTAGAATTTGAAAATACACAACCGGAGAAAATCTGCCACTTCCTTACAGAGCCCCTCCTCCAACACACACGAACGTGCACATGACCAATGAGGGCACGAGATAAGTTTGTGCCCCGATGGAAGGCTGACAGGCAGGTAGGCCATCCAGTTATTTTAGCCGGGCCGGCTAAAATAATTGGTCGTACTTTTTACAGTATTACGGCTTCCACAGATGACATTTTCTCTGGATGTTAAGAGCATTCCATGGAATATAACAAAAAGTGTATCTCGAGCCGGTTTCTCAAACTTACCTACCCTACCTTTAATATCAGCTAAATCCTATTTGAACTAAAACAAAAAGATGAATCATTTTGGCAAGTTTTGGATAAGAAAATGTCCAAAAGCACAGTATGGGAGTATTACACTTAACCAACACTAGGCAGGGTATTCTGCAATGCATGCATGGAAGGTGTACGCATAGGAAGATCAATGGCTCTTTAAAAAAAGACATGCTGAAAGGCATTTAACACAGTTTTTTGAAGTTTGTATAACTCCAAATGTTGACACTAAGATTTGTATTGTTAGTGCAAGTGTATATTGGTTCGCAATATTGGATATCCGTCTATTTGATTGCTGTGAGGTCTTACCTGGTTGGGAGAAAAAAAGTAATTGCTGTCTCCTATTAAGTATAAAACAAAACCTTACAGCTCTTTTTCGGAGAATCCATCACTGTGTATGCCAGGTTCATTAATTCAGGTAAACAGATCAATGCCTCAAGGACACATGCTATCAATTCATATCCGCGCGTGTGTGTGTGTGTGCACGCCTGAGTATGTGTGTGTGAGGGTTTGAGAGGATTAAGAGGTTTGCTGGCTTTTGAACAGCAGCAGAATGCGGAGTTGCTCCAAAAGGTGACAATTTATGCCGAGTCAGGCGTCAATGCACCTCAGGACTCTCACTCCTCTTCTCTCTCTCCAGCGCAGTCCACTATCTAATTTATCGCTGCGTTCACCTCACAGTGCTATCAACTAATTGCTTCCTGTCCGATGCTGGGCCCTATTTTTGTGATGCACGTAAGAGGATATAGTTGTCACCAAAATGCTGTTGAAGAGGATGAAAGTCAATATTTGTGTATTTAAATTAAAGCAATTGTTAATGGTTTGTGAATGTGGAAGGGATCCCTTGTAGAGGTGAACCTTCTAATAATTATTCCTCAATTCTGCTTTTTACCTCAGCTCTAGCGCTTTGTCATATTTCACCTCATTATTTTGTTTTGCAGCTCACATTTTTAATGCTTTGGTTCACTCTCACTGCTCTCAGCATCATTAAAAGCGAAAAAGCTTGAAAACTTCTCTCTACAAGCCCAACACCAAAAACAGCCAAACGTAAGAGACTCGCTGATGAGCAAAGAGCAGCTCTCGGCCCTTTAAGGTGGGGTAGGTAATTTTGGAGAAACCAGCTCGAGTGCGCAAGAATTTGAAAATACACAACCGGAGAAAATCTGCCACTTCCTTACAGAGCCCCTCCTCCAACACACACGAACGCGCACATGACCAATGAGGGCACGAGATAAGTTTGTGCACAGATGGAAGGCTGACAGGCAGGTAGGCCATCCAGTTATTTTAGCCGGGCCGGCTAAAATGATTGGTCGTGCTTTTTACAGTACTACTTCCACAGATGACATTTTTTTATGGATTTTTTGTCAAAGCACTTAAGATATTCATTGCTATCAGGATGTTAAGAGCATTCCATGGAATATAACAAAAAGTGTATCTCGAGCCGGTTTCTCAAACCTACCTTTAAGGAGAACATGTATATTGGATCAGGTGACCAGAAACTGGACTCAAAATGATTAATGCTGTTGGATTTTTGAAAAAGCAACAGTTTGGTAACATGACTCAATATCAACTTACAAAGTTTCATAAGATTCACTTTTGTGTTCAAGACCCTAACTGGCTCGTTTTTTTTCAGTGAAATGACTTGCAAATATAAAAAAGATCCAAAGATAAGGTAAGATCTGAAAAGGAATTGCTATGAAACATGTTTCCTTTTAATCTCTGTGAATAACAGAATAACTGAATTGTTATACGTTCACAGTATACTCCCCCAGAAAACCCAATCCACTTCCTCTCTCGCTCTTTCTAAGGCATGGATATTTGATGTAGCTTTGTGCGCCCATTAGATCTTCAAGGTCTTTCATTAACTGCAATGCTTAAAATAAAACATGTTGCTACCTTATCCCATATCTCTCTCCTTTTGCTTAATGTTCTCACTCTCACTTGCTCTCTTCCCATTTACTCGATGAAAACAAGTTTGTGCAAACAAAATGAATTGCCACTTACTCTGATGCTTTAGCTCACAATTGGTACATAAAGAGAGTAAACATGGAGAAAGAGAAAAGAGAGAATGAGGATGAGAGAGATGAAGGGCCGCCCAGATTACAATCTGTTTAATGTAGCCTTTGTTATTCTTTGTGCTGAATTCGTTCGAGGGTTGAGAGAAAATTGCTTTGGCAGTACTGTCATTTTCAGTCATGCAGTTTTGAAAAATGCTTTGTAAAATGACAGCGTGTTGTGTTGCATAACTCTGACTCAGGAAATAACCTTAATTATGTTTCCTTCTCTGTTTTCCCCTCTGTGTTTCTGTAATTTTCCTTTCACCCATTTAACATCAACCTTCATCGTTTGCTTTATCATCCTCTACTCTTTTTATGTATCTCCCAAAACCTTTCATCTCTCCTGCTTTCCTCAAGTTCTAACTCCCTTGTCGCCTTTGTCTCTCTTCTCTCCAGGTCCCTGTCTGGGCGTATTGTTGGAGGTGTGTGGTGGTTCTTCACCCTCATCATCATCTCCTCTTACACAGCCAACCTGGCTGCTTTCCTCACAGTGGAGAGGATGGTCTCCCCCATAGAGAGCGCGGAGGACTTGGCCAAACAGACCGAGATAGCCTACGGGACACTGGACTCAGGTTCTACTAAGGAGTTTTTCAGGGTAAGGACTTCTCACACTCATTGACTTAAATATTTAGGAGACATCAGGATCAGATGACCTACTGGTCTTGCATATAATAATTTAACCTTTTTAAAAACCAAAGCAGTGTGCACAACCGATTTCAACTCCAGTTTCAAGGATACCATTCCTGTCATGATTAATAACAGAATAAAAACACAATTATCCTATCCAAAAATGTAGGAGATACCAACAAATACTGTTTGACCAGTATTGCAAGACAAAATTATTTATGAGTTTCTCCCGTTGTGTTTGCTTCTAGCTGATGCATATTAGCACACAAAGATTCAACATTCTTCTGTCCCACTGGTTTCTCAATATCCCACTTCATTGACATTTGCTGGAAGAAGTGTGTTAAAATACCTAGTGTAGAAGAAGAAGGCAGCAATCTGACAAACATACTGTAGACGTAAACCATTCAGGTTTATGGATCTTTGGTTTCATTTTTCAAATAAATGGTTTCCTGATGAACAAATGCATTCTCTAGACCTCAAGGACACATGGGTGGATGTAAGAAACACTGAATGTACGAAGTATTGAGCGTAAATTCCACGGGGTGCCTTTAGGGAAGTGGATGTCAATTGTCAAATTGCTTATGGTCTTTATTTATTTGTAAATGACTGTTATATAAATGTGTTGATGCACGTCATTGTGTACCTTGGAGGGGAACAATGCCATACCACGGTGCTTTGCATCATTCATCACCCCCACTCCATCCATTATTGCAATATTGCTCACTTTACAGCATAGAAATCGGATGTAAACAGGGTACAAGGGGGTAATGTTCAGTTGCGGTTCAGGCAACCTGGTCTCACCAGAATGCGTGACTCCACCACGACTCCTTAACACCGCATTGCGTGGTGGAGTCACGGACTCTGCTACATTTACGTGTCTGCACCACGCAAACAACCCCAATGTAAAGTGAATGAGGCTCCTTTGTCGTGGTGCACACACGCATTTCTACAACGTCCAGCAGTGAGCTTTTATTCTATAAACGTTTTTAAAATCTACTTTATAGCTTGTAGTAACTCACAGGAGGCTTCTTTTATTTTATTTGTATTCATAATCATTTTTATTTTTCGTCAGAATGTATTATGGTGCATTATTCACCAATGTTTGTTCTCAAAAAACAATGCATTGTGTGTAATACAACTGTGATTTTTATTAAATTAGTTCGTTTTTAAGGAAGGCCAGAGCTTCAGCTGTGTCAAAGAGATTGTTCCCTTTAGTTAACGTTATTTAAAAGATAATTATATTCCTATTTGATTAAGTCCCCTTTATTGTATTACGGACCCAAAGAGCTGAGCGTCCATTCCCATTGGATAACAGAGCATTTTACACCCGGAAGTAAGTATTCTCCTTACTGTCCATTGATTTTATTTACAGTGATATCTGCACTACTCATCAACTCAAAAACACCAGATTATCCTTGTTAATTACACAACATTGATTGGTTTAAATTGTGTGCAATGCTTTTGTATTTTCCCCTTTCGATTCGGAGAAACAAATATTTGTTCGTAGTGTGTGGATGGCAGAAGGCACTACACTACCCAGAATCCTCAGCTATAGGACTACACCATGTGCTTAGAACGTGTCCTACCCCCCCCCCCCCCCCCCCCCCCCCCTTAGGTCACAAGCTCCTCCAACAGTGCAACACAATAAAACAGATAGGCTACACAGAACAAATAGTGCAAGTAAATACAAAAAGAAAAATAGTAAAATAGTAAAAAGTGAAATAGTGCAATAAGAGTCTATATACAAGTGATTGGAATATGATATATTAGATAAATAATTTCTAAGTAGCAGCCAGATGAATGTTATGGATGTTGTTTCTAAGTTCAGGTGTTTAATAGTCTTATGGCCTGTGGGATGAAACTGTCCCTGAGTCTGGTGGTTTTAGTCCGGATGCTGCGGTACCCGCCTGCCAGACGGCAGCAGACAGAACAGTTTGTGGGGTGATGGGGGTCTTTTATAATCCTGAGGGCTTTCTTTAAGGTTAACCTGGTATTTTTACTCCACTACATTTATTTTAGTTACTTTACAGATTTGGATTAATGATGTGAAATATAAACAACCCTTAAATCAGACTTTAGTTACACCGGAGTAAAATTCAGTGAATTCAGCCAACAATCAGGCGAGATATTTGGTAGTGGGTGCTTGAGAAGACTAAATATGTATCTGCAGATCCCTATAAAGCATATTCATTACTCGTTATTCTCTACTAATAGTTCATTAAAAACTGTATATAATGGTTATTTTGCACATCCCTTTCAAGATTTCAAGATTTTCTAAGGTTTATTGACATATCATATACACAACTACGGTGTAGTTATGCAATGAATGAAACACTTGGGTCACAGGTTCATCAACAGTGCATCACAATACATCTATCGATATCTGTGTACCTCCACCATTAAACATATTCTGCACATTTCTTATACTATCTACATACATCTTATAAGAGTATAATTAATATGTATAATATCAGTTAAAATAAGTGCTTCAACATAGTTAACATTGAAGGAAAGTTGATTGTCAAGTTCCAAAACAAACCATGCAATATATTAGACGTTAAGTACTTTGTCAGGCTTAATATCTGTAGATACCCCCAAAGCTTTTTTCTTATTTAAAAGACGACCTTAACCTAAAGTATTCTTTAATGTTTAAATAAAGCCTTATAAGTTTGTCTGTTTTGCACATCCTCCTATCAGGCACTAAACTGTTTTATTGTAGAGATCACTTACAGTATCTTCTTGATATTTTCTATTCTATATTATTTATATCATTGACCTTCCACTTTCCCACTATATTAAGAGTATGTACCCTTAATATTGAAATGTTTTCATCAAATATAACACATTCAAAAGTGCTTTACAAAAATGAAAGACATTAAGAAAAAGGCATTTTAAAACAGTCAATAAAAAGCAACCCAATCTACCTGCATTGCATTACTCTAAATGTGTAATAACGTGCTTTAACCAGTAGGAGGTGCGGGTTAAAAAGCTGTCAAGTTTACAGTGTTAACAAAATAAAATATACTGCTGTTTCTGGTTTAGTTTACGACGGATATATTCTGTTATTGTTTTGATATTTGTAACACAAAAGCGATGTAAAAAACCCACAGCAACACAGAAAAGATGGTCTTAACATGACCCAGCGGTCTAGTAGTTAATAAAAAACAATAATATCAAAACAAATTATTACTACTAACTTTATTGTGAAATTAAAATAGAACGGTAAAAGAATAGTTTCCGGTCCATTCTGAGGCCCGATCTCTGTAGATAAATAAAGAACTACGACAGATGTGTAATGTTTAATGCAGCCAAACCATTCATTACAATGCATTCATGTGATGACTTTCAAAGAGTAAAGCAAGCACTGCTGAATAAAGTATGATTTGATCTTTGACGAAACGTTTTTTTCATTGGAATGCAGTTGGAGGTCAACCAATCACAGAGCTTGAGGCAAAGCGGAACAATAGCTGAGGATTCTGGGTAGTGTAGTGTCTTCTACCATCCACACACTCCGAAAACATATTTGTTTCTCCGAATCGAAAGGGGAAAATACAAAAGCATTGCACACAATTTAAACCAATCAATGTTGTGTAATTAACAAGGATAATCTGGTGTTTTTGAGTTGATGAGTAGTGCAGATATCACTGTAAATAAATCAATGGACAGTAAGGAGAATACTTACTTCCGGGTGTAAAATGCTCTGTTATCCAATGGGAATGGACGCTCAGCTCTTTGGGTCCGTAATACAATAAAGGGTACTTAATCAAATAGGAATATAATTATCTTTTAAATAACGTTAACTAAAGGGAACAATGTCTTTGACACAGCTGAAGCTCTGGCCTTCCTTAAAAACGAACTAATTTAATAAAAATCACAGTTGTATTACTTACAATACATTGTTTTTTGAGAACAAACATTGGTGAATAATGCACCATAATACATTCTGACGAAAAATAAAAATTATTATGAATACAAATAAAATAAAAGAAGCCTCCTGTGAGTTACTACAAGCTATACAGTAGATTTTAAAAACGTTTTATAGAATAAAAGCTCACTGCTGGACGTTGTAGAAATGCGTGTGTGCACCACGACAAAGGAGCCTCATTCACTTTACATTGGCGTTGTTTGCGTGGTGCAGACACGTAAATGTAACAAAGTTCGTGACTCCACCACGCAATGCAGTGTTAAGGAGTCGTGGTGGAGTCACGCATTCTGGTGAGATCAGGTTGGGTTCAGGAGGTTAGATCATGTAGAACTTTAAAAGCTTTAAAAAACAAGCCAAACAATCTGGAAGGCACTTCTGAAATGAAAGGGCAGTCACTAAGAGAAAGAAACTGTGAGAGAGGTTCTGTCGCTCATTTGTTGAAGCTGACAAAAGCCAAACAGCAGAAATCTGCTCTGTGTGTAGGTGGGACAAGGACGAGTGACTAATGACGGTGTAAACCAATTTACAATAGTCCAGGTGGGAGGAGGAGAATGAATGGATGGCTTTCTCCTGAACTTGAATTGAGAGAGGCTTACATTTTGGAAGTGACGCTTAGCTGAAATTCATGGCTTTAACTTTTCAAGCGTTATATAAAACTAGGTTTTGGAGGTGCAGCGTGGGATTTTAATTCATACATTTTGAAGTAAGATTCACACAAATACAAAGGGGCATTTTTTGTCTATCAACCCCTGCATTAAATCACTTCCTTACTCTGTAAAATAACAGCAATAATAATAATCATAATGCAAACAATAAAAAGTGGTGAAGGTGGACAGAGCTGTATTCCTTAGGGAGATATGACTGTAAAATAGTTAGCAGGAAATTAAAGCTGAGTAGAGTGAAGCGGCCCAGATGAATCCTCGTGGCTTCACCCATTGACCTCTGCACCCATGTGAATTTCAATTACAAAATAACTCATAAACACACACACACAGAGACACACACATGCAAACTGATGAAGACACGGGCAAAACACCAGCGTCACCGCATGTACAAAAACAGATCTGCTCTGTCACATAATCATGCTCTGTAGGTATATTCAGAATTGTTTGTGTGCTCAAGCATTGTGTGTGTGTGTGCATATACCAATTTCCAGTTATGCTTTGTAAAGATGTGGGCGCTAGAGTGTGTATTTGGGGATGTGGAGTGGGGTTGGGGGGGTTGTAACAGACAGTTTGTGCTTCTGTGAGCGGCTCTGGCATCATCAACATAACGAGCGGGCTGAAATCTGCGGAGGGTGAAAAAGCAATTTACTCTACCACAGCTGAGAGGGATACGCCACCACCATTAATTATCTGTGTGTATGTATGTGTGTGTGTATTTTTGTGTGTACGTAAGCATGCATGTATGCATATCCAGCCACATATTGTAAGCGTGTAAATGTGCATATTAGTGTGTGTGTGGCGATTCTCACAAAGAACAGATTTGTGTGTGTGTGTTAAATATACTATAGTGTTCTCCATAGTGTGGATGCCTGAAGGTGACTTGCAGCATCCATTTCCTCCTTCAACCTCACTCATTGTTAAAGAATCTGGAAAGAGTCACACCGCATTGTCACACATCCATCCCTCCGAGGCCAGGCGCTGCTTTATATGTGCACAGTCATCATCATCACTGTCTCTCCCTCTCTCTGTCTCACTCTCTCTGACACACAAACACACACACGGGCGGATACAAATACATACACACAATGCACAAAAGCAACGGCCGATAGCAAACTAAATGAAAGATGAGCAGATATATTGCACTTATGGAATGAGAATGATAGAAGGGCTGAAGGTGTGAAGGGAGAGCATGGTGTTTTTTTATTTTTGATAAGTAAAAAATGAAAAGATAAAGAATGGGGAAAGAGACAAGGTTGAGAGAAGACGGGCCGGCTGGTCCTCATAGATGCGAGTGACATTATTATGGGAAAGGTGTCCGTCACGCACTAGTAACACGCTTACACACACGTACACACCACCCCCAGGGCGCTGGTTTCAGTATGAGGCCGTGGCTTGTCTCTTGCAGAGCAACAAAATCGCACTTAATCACCAGGAGAGAAAGAGGAGAAAGAAGCAGCAGCTCGCTGGTGGAGGATGACAGTTTGACTCCTCTGCTTGTTATTTTCACTCTCGAGTACACACAGTCCACACACACATTACAACACATAAATTCACACTTACATAGACTGGTGCAAAGAACTTCACACACACACATATGCATGGGATATACACAAAATAATGCAATCTATTGCCTCATACCAGACAGATGTCCTCGGAAAAGCTGTTCTGTTAGAGCCAGTGACCACATTCATAACGCCACAACCGGATCATTATGCCACTCTGCCAGTCATAAGGCCATTTTAAGTAAGACAAATGTTCGACTTGTCAGGAGAGATGTAGTGTTACATTTTAAATGTAGTTATAAATGTCATTATGCGCCAGAGGATCAAAATGTAAGATGCAAGACACAGCAGTCCATCAGCATTGTCATTTATTCAAGGCCTTTAAGATGGGAAATCAGCGTCAGCGGTTAGCTCTACATCAAAAGAAAGAAAATAATGAAATGCAGTGAAAAACATCTAAAACGAATAGTACAGTTTGCAGTTCAATATCCGAACTGTATTGTGTCTATTGTAGAAGAAGAACTTGTGGATAATCAATAAACAGCATTAAGTGTCATTGTGTTACCATAATGAGTAGCATTGTTTTCACCTCCTCAGCTCTCATATTAACATCTCATATTTGTCCTATCTGTCTCAGTGAGCATGGCATGTTGATTTGAATAATCAAATATGTGGTTGGAGGAGCTGATAACACTTCAGTGAGGTGTGAATGGACACCCAGAAGTAGACACAGAGCATGGATGCGTAAACAATAACAACGCATTCCTAAATAATGAGGCTGCCTCGTTCTTATTGTCATCAAAAAAACAACAATGCATGTTTCAAGTACTTTGAGTTTATCTACCCTGTCTGTTGATCTCATTACCAATCCTATGAATCCCTATTTAAGACATTATTTCAAACAGTTTACATTTTTATAATAGTTTTAAAGCACTTGACATTGTAGTTTCTAGCTAACTTTATTTAATCATGAACAAATTATTAAAATTTGACTAATTCTGGTGGTGGATTAATACACATTTAGCTATAGAGTATTTGCAGCTCCTGGACTTTGTTTGATTGACTCGCCAAAATACAAAAGTGATGTTTATGTTAATGAAGGAACATGACACCCACTGTGGATGTGTTGCTTACTGATGTATTTCCACTAGTTATTTATACAACAATAGGTGTCTATGGCCCAAAGGAATGGGCTGTTTGTTTTCACATACTTGTTCGCAGGATTAAATCACAGCCCAACAACAGAATGTTCTACCTTCAATGAGCAGTGACAGTTTTCAAGTGTCCTTAATTGTGTTTCACAGAGTCACTTAAATGCATGCTTTAATTTAGTGTAAATGCACAAATAGCCTGAAATCTCACTCCATGTTCTTTGATTTTGAGACCTTACCGATCCACAGTATTCTTTTTATCTAAAAAGACAGACAATTGAAGAGGGACAAAAACATTTTTCTCAAATTAGGTCATTTGTAAGTGTTCCAACTTACATGGTGTTCCCTTTGGAAAATGTTCCTCCGTGTTATACAATCTGTTTTGGACCGCAATATTATTAAAATGTTGCCAATTAATTCCTAATATACACCTTTGTTATCCTTCCTCTACCCTAGAGGTCCAAAATAGCCGTATACGAGAAGATGTGGTCGTTTATGAAGTCTGCCGAGCCGTCAGTCTTCGCCAAAACCACGGCAGAGGGCGTGGCGAGGGTCCGCAAGTCCAAGGGAAAGTACGCTTTCCTCCTGGAGTCAACAATGAACGAATACACGGAGCAGCGGAAGCCTTGTGACACCATGAAAGTCGGGGGGAACCTGGACTCCAAAGGATATGGGATTGCTACACCGAAAGGCTCACAGTTAAGGTGGGTGGAATAGTGTAACAATAGAAGACAGTAACAAAGCTGATACTGTCCTATTGCTGCAATATTCCACCTACCCTGCTGTGCCTTTTATACTTCACCTAGAACTGCCTGTCACTGCTGTCAGGTGAAAATCACCCACAAAATGTCACTCAAAATGAGTTAACAGATGACCAGCGATTTGGATATTTCTTATCAAAATTACTAAAGAATATGGCATCAGTACAATTTATGTATTTATTTTTAATACAATCCCAAGTTAAAGCAACTGTTTTCACCTAGCAGCAGCGATATAGAAGAGAATGTTGAATATGCTAATCATTTGTTTCATCATGGTTTGCTTGATTTCTTTATCTTTCTCATTCTGGCCTCTACTTTGCACATGTCTGTCTTTCCTTCACCTTTTTCTGCCACCTCTGTTAATTTAGGGCCTGTTAGCTCCATTTCTGTGTCCTCTGTCCTTTGTCTGTCCCTTCCTGCTCGCATCCCTTCTTTCTATCCTCTTTTAACTACTCTATTTCTCCCCAGGGCCACCTTACAGGTAACTTTGTCCATCCGTCTGTTGTCCTGTCTCTTTGTTCCTTTCATCCCCAGAGATGGTAGTAATGATAGTTATGATGATGATGATAATGATAATGATAATGATAATGATGACAATGATGGTTATGATTATTATAGCAAAGATTTATTAAATGAATATGACCGTGAGGAGGGTCAGAACCTCAGACTGATGCCGCTACATCCAGAGCCGTGAGGGGGAATTTATAGACATCAGGAGACAAAAAGTGAGAAACAGGAAGTAGAGGGGCCCGGCCAATGGGGGGACTAGAAACTAAACATAATGCAGGATCCCACAGCCAATTTTAAACAAACTAAATGAAACAAATATGAATGGTAATTGGAAAGACACCAAATTAAACTCTGATCATGGAGTAATCCTTAGTTAATTTGTTAAAACTGCACACAAATAAATCCTAATAAAGAGAGCATAAGCTGGAGGGAATGAATGAGAAAGTTTGAGTTCCATAGTTGGTCCTTTTATTGTGATTCTCTCTCAGCAGGCATTTGTTTATCGGGCCTGTTAACTTGATCCGACAGGTACAGTCCCAGTAGGTTTCACTGAGGTATTCTGTCAATGCAAATAATTCATTTTCAGGTGACTCTGACAGCACGATGTTACAAATGCCTGCTGAGGTAAAAATAATTGACTAAATTCAGCAAAGCTGGGCCACTTGCTGTCTCTTCTCTCCCTCCTTCTCTCTCCGTCAGCATTTCAGATTTGCCTTATGAAAGGCAAAAACAAACAGCACATCAGCCTCACATCCTGTCCTATAACTTTTCCCCTGTGTGTGGTGCAAACAAGTCTCACAAACCCCAGTCACTGTAGTCTATCCCTTGTTATTTAAACAAAGGTTTTTTCGTTTATGAGGGAAAAGTGACAGACAGCGGGTGGATAGGTCCCTTTTTTAAGCCCCCACCAGACAACATTTCTGGGACTATCCACGGTTGTCTCTGGCTTCTCTCAATCAGCGGAAAACCCGACCTACCAGGAGCGCACATGTGGCAGGAAAGTGTGCACATCAGGTGAGCCTGCCCCTCCTCTCGGTGTACTATAATTACAGCACTAATTTCACTTGATGAGGATAATGAATACCCTGATGATTAGAAATGTATGACGGTATAGCTGCTTTTGATGTAATTATTGGTATTTGACTGTTGTTTTCATGATTGGCAAAGATGTTTGAACTGTTTTCATCCATACCTTTTACGTTGATGAGATTAGTCATGGCTTGTATATAAGATCCCCCCAGATAACATTGTCTCTCTCTGAATCTCTTGACAATCTTTACTTAGCTTAATCTTTAAAGGTGTGAGGTGATTACTATTGCTTTCCTAATTTGTCCTGAACTGAGAACCTTCCAGCCAAAAGCCATCTGTTACCCGCAGTCTCCCAACATGCTGCGTTGAGATACCTCCAGATAGGCAGGTGTACAGACAAAGGGGCATACTAACAAACAAGCAGGCAGTGACTGCAGTGACCTTTTTGGAAGATATTTTCCAGCTGATTACAGCATCTCACAAACAGAAGGATAGTCAGCAGTCGGTGGTTACAGTAGCAAAGACTGACAGGAAGGTCTTTTACAGGTGGCTGTAAAAAGCAGAAAGGTACCAAAGCAGGAGGTGTAGGACTAAATTAATAAAGGGCATTCAGGAAACAAATTTACAAAATCATTCAGCCCCTGCAGCTCTGTTTTCTACACACTCCTTTGGAAATCACAGTAAGGGAACAGGCCACATATTGAGCAGCAAACGAGATACATTTGCAGGGAATAGGGAAATGTTAGGCAAATTAAAACTGCTGGTTCTCTATGTCTCATGCTGTTGCATTGTTGGTCTTATAAAGGGCATTGTCATTGTGTGTGTCAGCTAAATATAGTATACTTTTTAAGAGCTTTATAAAAAATGCCTGATATCAAGAGCTTGGCTGAACACCTGTGCACGCACAGCATGAATGCCGCATGATGTTTAGCCCTGTGTCCCTGAATTTTGATTAGAGGTCAATTCCTTCAGGGGTGTAGTAGGAAACTCAAGCCCACACACACACACACACACACACACACACACACACACACACACACACACACACACACACACACCACACACACACACACACCACACACACACACACACACACACACACACACACACACACACACACACACACACACTCACACACACACACACACACACACACACACACACACACACACAGAGAGAAGCTGGCAGGCAGGAGAGCATCAGGACAGGAGGGGACAAGAGCACCATCAGCAGGCTGCAAAGACCTGGTTAACACCACTTTATACCAGCAATCTGACGCTCAGCGTAGAGCATCCTGGGTAGTGCAGCCAGCAGCCCAGTACAAGAGAGCAACAGAGGAAAGATGCAGTACAACTGATTTCTAACAAAAGAGTTAAAACTGTTAAACATTTAAGAAAGTAACTGTAGCCCAAAAAAGGGAAAAGAGTAAGAGAGAGCGTTGTCTGGGGTGCATTCTTCCCCACCATCCCACCTTTGTCCCATCCTCCCTTCTGAGTTCTCCCCCCTCTGCTCCCTCTCCTCCTTGTCTCCCTCCCCTTCTTCCTCCTGGCTGTGGTACACGTCCATATTGTTTGTTTGACCCTCCATCCTCTGCTCTGACCAATCTTATCTGTCCCCTCCTTTTTTACTTAAAGAAACGCGGTTAACCTGGCCGTGCTAAAGCTCAACGAGCAGGGCCTGTTGGACAAATTGAAAAACAAGTGGTGGTATGACAAAGGAGAATGTGGCAGCGGGGGAGGGGATTCCAAGGTTAGCCCTCTCTGTCTGACCACCCCACCACTGGGGGGACAGGGGCCGCTCACCGGCTATGTAGCCCGCGACGGCCCCTGTCCCAAGAGTGTAACGCATGCATCTGCCCTGGCGAGGAGTCGAGCAGCAAAGAGCATCAAATGACACCCTAATTCTCCTGGGACACCCTACAGCTTAAAAAACAGCCACAATGTTGCATCTGCTGTCAGTGGTGTGTGCCTTTTTATAAAAAAGGTTCAGACCCAGTGACAAAGGTACAACACTTGAGCTTGCTGAAACACAGAAAAAGTAATATTTCTATTTTTTAAAGAAACAAATTGGTGAACCCAAAAGGGAACCAATATATTTTGTGTTGAATCATTAGCAGGAAAAACATATGCATTTTCAATATCATGCAGGGAAATATGTCCCATTTGTGGGTTAGTGCCTGCCAAGATAAATCAAGCAAACCTCCTGATCACCATTTTCAAATGTGTTTGGCACTGATCTGGTAATGGCCCTTTGAAAGTACAGAGAGTGAAGGTGGAAAGATAAAGAGAGCAATTACTGTCAAGGCAGGAATACTCGCCCCCTAGTGGCAGCTCTGGGGAGAAGAGTGTGAAGAAGGAGTCAAATTGCAAGACACACCAAACTGAACCGTATGACTCCTTCAGCTGAGGATCTGTTGTCGGGTACATGGCAGATGAAATAGGTTCTAAAACGTTTAATGGAAAAACGAGATCCAAGTGTAATTGTAGCTCTCAGATTCTTTTAGGCTCAAGTTGACTTGAGGCGGAGGGGACGCTGAATAATTGATAGCAGCAGAATGAAATTACCGTATGAAAAGTAGTTTCCTACATCTCTTGTTCGTTTGTCAGGTTTAAACAACTCTATGTAGTCTTTTTATCATTATTCATTTAAGTTTTCCCTATTGTGTAAAATGTTCAAATATTTATATCACTCTTTTGTAACTTTACGTCTTGGCAGAGTTGTAATTTAATTCTTGTTCTTGTTAACATTGTACATCTAGTGTTTTTATAAAAGAGGAACACTTAGAGTCAAGTATACCCGTATTGTTTGAAATATATAAAATCCCCAAACTAAGAGGTACAATTCCAAAGCCTTACTAGAATTAGGATAACACAATATAGGATAATATATTGGCGCTACAAAGTAATTTGTATTTATTATCTGAGAACCGAAATGTTTGTTTTAGTAGATGTAGATATATTTAACTGGATACTTAAAAAAGGGGGGGATTGGTAGCACCCTCTGCAGAGCAGGCCAATCCATAAATTGTTGAGATTTTTCAGTCTAGACCAGAGTAATGGACAAACTGGATGACGAGCTGACAGTTGACTTGCAGTGAAAATATTTTTTTATGGAAGCAACATGCGATCTGAGTGCTACAAAAAAAGATCAGACCTGTAACAAGACAGGAGCTTCCTTTTGCGTTCAAAGTCCGTAGAGTTTAGGGATTCCTCAGCTACACATTCAAGGGTCTGTCTCCCTGTATCTCTCTCCCGGTTGTAGCACAGAGCGAGCCTGACGCCATTAGTCCTGGCTTAAGAGTACTTGCCTCTGGCTCAGTGTAGGATCAGCTGGGGCAGCATGGGTGTGTTACCTGTCGTGACAAAGGTGGGTCCCACTCATATGTCTGTAGCTCGCATTAGCTCCTCGCTCCCCCCAGCCCCTCCTCAACGAGCATACACACATGTACTCAGTGGGATCCATGCTAGGTCACTTGATGTAAATAAAAGTGCTTATCTATGTAACTGAGCTGTGCAATGCAAATGTGAAATACTCTAATAACATAAAATAACATGTCCTATGATGTTATTTATGTTATTTTTACACGCGAAGAACCCCGGTAAACCTTGCAGTTTTGAAACTGAGCGAAGCAGGCGTCTTAGACAAACTGAAAAACAAATGGTGGTATGACAAGGGAGAGTGTGGACCCAAGGACTCTGGAAGTAAGGTCAGTCTCACGCTGCTGCGGCCCTCAGAACGCTAGCCTGAAACTCTCACCTTTAATATGCTAGCCTGAAACATATATTGAATGTGCTCCACAGTAGACTTAACTACCCATTAAGGGATTCCCTACAACATGTTCCCTTCCCTATTTTGATTCTGAAAACACATTTACCGAAATATGCATGGAATAAACTAAAATTCTCAATTTATGTAGCAATCTGTGGCAATCCCATATTTATTACAGTTAGCTTTATACAATACAATGTAAATTACGATGATCGATAGCGAATTTTCACTCTTTTTCTTTTCATACGCAAGCATTTTGAGGGAAAATAATACCACTGTTCATTTAGCTTTTACAACTTCTTAAAGATTTAATCAGGACAAGGCTATTTGTTTATCTCTGTCAGTTGGAGGAAAACATGGTAAAGCTTCATATTACAGGTTCCAATTTTTTCAATATCCTTTTTGTGGAAGAACGTTCTTATTGTTAAGCTAATGCAATTGAATAAATGTGTAAAGACTTCAGTGAACAGCCGGCCAGCTGAACATTCATGTGAATTGTGTCAATGAACAAGCTTTCAATTTAACATACAGTATATGGAGAACATACTACTTTTTAATAATAAATGAATACTGAATTAATAATTGCATAGGTTTAAGTGGAGCAGTCCTTTCTTCTGGAACTCCAAAGCTGCTCATATGCTTGACACAGCTGACTCAATGTTGACTCTATTAACTGCATTACTCCATATTCCTTGTTTTTAAAAACAAATAATGTAGTTTTCTCTATTAGGTCTCCTAAACAAAAGAAAAAAGAATGGACCTGTGACATAAAGCGTTACTATTAATAAGCATTTTCTATTAAAGTGCTACAGCTAATGTATACCCCATACAGAAACAAACAAGAAATTAGAGCCCTTAAATCCCATTCAAACTTTAGTAAAATGTCATCACCGTTCAGATTAAAGCCCGCTCTTTTTGACTTATATTAGCTGTTGATTCAAGCTGCTTTGATATCATGTAACTCTGTTGACGTAGTAGTAATGTAGAATGTACTGTAGTGGTATTGATTGTTAAAGATGTGTAGTATCTGTTGTGTTGATAGTAGTATTAATTGTAGTTGTAATAGATGTAATTGTATGATCATTCATAGTTACAGTAAGCATTAAAACAAATGTAATGTCAGTAGTGTATAATAGTAGATTAATACTGTATAACATAACTGTATCAGATTTTGTCACTAAATGATTTTTCACCTGATAATTTCAGCTTGTGTCTAACCCACTGTACCTTTTTGTCTCTGTCTGCTTTTCCCACCTCTTTTCTGTCACTCCAAACACCTCCTTAACTTCCCTCTCCTGCTTCCTCACTCCCATTCTTTCACCTATTCTCTCACCTATTCTCCTATCTCTCAAATGTTCCCTCTCTTCTCTTATCCCACTTGCATGTCTTCTCTCCTTTATCATACGTCATCTATTTCATGCATCTACCTAAACTACATACTCTATCATGACCCTGCTCTGGTCTCCCCCTTCTCTTTTTTCTTTCCCCCTTCTTCTAAACTTCACCTCTCTTTTGCCTCATTTACCTCAACCTTCCTATTTCTTCGTCCCCCACTCTACCCAAAACTTCCTCACACTCGCTCTCTCCAGGACAAGTCGTCCCAGGCCCTGAGCCTGTCCAACGTGGCGGGGGTCTTCTACATCCTGGTGGGCGGCCTGGGCCTGGCCATGCTGGTGGCCCTGGTCGAGTTCTGCTACAAGTCACGGGCCGAAGCCAAGCGCATGAAGGTGGACCTTAGCCCCCCCCACTGCCCAAGCCCCTCCCCCAGCACCCAGAATCTAGCCACTTATAGGGAGGGGTACAACGTGTACGGCTCCGAGGGGGTCAAGATATAGGGGTAGGATTTAGAGGCTCCCATATAGGTGGGGTAATGGTGGTGTTGATCATGGTGGTGGTGCTGTAGATTACTGTATTGTGGATGTAGAGGCTGACGCAGCAGCCCCACGCAACCGTGTTGTTCTTCATGTGGTGATGAGGATGTGGTCAAGCATTGTGGAACCAATGTAGCTTTTTATGTTTTATCAAAGCTTATTTTAGCTAATATTTTGATATTTTTTGGGTTCAAATTTGTATTGTCTTCATTCTATAGCAGTTCTCCCCTCCATATATTGGGGTTTGATTTGTGTGACTACAAATTTGGTTCCATCGTCTTTGGCTGCATGTGATGATGATGAAGATGGTGATGATGGTGATTGTGATGGTGACATTGCTGGTCATGCTCATGGCTCATTACTTGACTAGGCACCTGCATTGTTTCTTTACCTTAAAGCTAACAAACTATGGAAAAAGCAGGGATGCACAACTCCATTCTCAGGGGCTAGTGTAGAAGTAAATAAATGTTTATACTCTATAGGGCTGCAATACCTAACTTACTTGCTTATTTTTTTCAACAAAAGTTAAAACCAAATACAACTCATTGTACCATCACATTAGTCAAGAAAAAGCAGAAAATCCTCACATTGAGACAAAATAAAACAAAAAATGTGACGTTATAAAAGTTTCAAGTGTTTTAATACTAGACCTGAAACACATATTTCAATTTCATCGTGGCTAAACTATTTATAGATTGCAGTGTTGGTCTCGGTACTTCCCTAAGAGCTAAAGTTACTGAGTGTTCCTCATTAAAATCTTCGAAATGCTTCTGGCTACAAATTAATAAGTTAAAGTGTGGACACCAATTAGCACAGATTTGGGTCTGAATAAAACTTTTCAGTTCATAATCTGATAGATATCCCAGCAATAATAAAAATAGTGTTTGTCCGCTATAATTACTATAATTACTATAACTAGACTTGCAGCACCACTGTGAGTCAGAAAAACATATAGGCATGAGCTTACGTGCATTGACTTGTTTTTGAAGGGAAAAATTACTCTTGAAAGCTGGGCCAATTTATACCAATTTAGGATGAGACAGCACTTCTGACAGCTTAAGCAAAGTTTCAAACATTTCCCCTGAAATACTGATTTAATCTTATCCATTAAGATAAAATTCATACTCAGGCAGTTTTTTAATTACTTTTATTGTGCGATGATTGTGTTAGTGAGTTTGAAATACCAGAATCTTGTCCAATATACTTCTAATTATTAGTCAAAGCCAAATTAAGAAAAAGTACAACCTACTTATCTTGACTTCTGGAAGCTAATCAAAATACTAGGAGTGGATTTGTTTTGATTACCTCATATGCACTCATAGATTTACATTTAATCTGTGTTTTAATTAAAATGTTTATTAGGCAGAAAGTATTAGATATATACATGTGAATCTAAATGAATTATGGCAAACCCAAGTGCAAAAACCTTCATCCATACATAATAGCTTCAGTTTCCCCAGCTGAACTGATCTTTCCCAGCTCAAGTGGAGCTGGCACTATTTCCTTTCCATAAACTGCATCTTCAAAGTGTCGTCCATAAAGTGGAGTTGTGCAGCCCTGTTGTAGAAGGTCCAAACAGCCACTATGACTTATTCAACCCCTGACAACTTCCAAACAGCCCACTTACTTAGTTTTAACGCAGAGGAATAATTGATGAAGCAAACACTTCATATAGAACGGCTACCTAGTGATGGTGTTGTAAAAACATGTTTATTGGTGTAAAAGAGCACTTAACTAGAGTGGAAAAAAACATTGGACCGTAATTTGATGACCTGCTTTACAAACCATTCAGAGGTCATTGATCATTACAGAGTATGCACAAATAAAGACAGCAAGACGTGACTCTAAATATGAGCTAATATCTTTCCAAAACCATATATTTACATGAAGTTTAATGTTAACCACGGATAAACCATTTTTGAGAATGGACTGTAAAGCCCTTTAACTGAAGAATGTGTTTGAATTTCTTTAGAGCAGTCCGTATCATGTTTATTGTCTTTTTTTAATTAAGGTGTAGTACATCAGCATGACAGCAGTCATAAAAAGAGAATGAGGGCAAACGTTTGGCTGTTTCTGGCAATGAATTAGCAAACAGCAAAAAGACATTCAGATGAAAAATACTACATCTAGATGTCTTTTCTCAGATATTGTCTTCTTTGTAAAAATGCAAAGAGATTAAACTAAAACCATGTTTTATTTCCTAACATAGATAATTCTCTCTACTTTGTCAATGATTTCTGTGGAAATCGCTTCAAGCGGAGGCATTTTAAGAAGTGTCCCAATCAAAGCACAAGCAAAAGCCGTTTAAATCATTACAAAAAAGCTTTTTGGCTGTTGTAGATATGAATGGGAATCATCACAGAGTTGCCGGTCTGTGTGAAGTGTTGCCCTACTCTGAGCTGTAAAATCATTCAATCCCTCTCTATAAATCTGACACTCCTTAATGTTTCCCTTTTGTCTTCCCAAAGTTGTCACTTTCCAAATCCTTTCAAATTCCTCACCTTCCAAATCCTTTCAAATCCTCACCCTTATTTTTTGGATAACCCAGAACCAAGAAATGCATGGTCACCTATGAAATGCAGATGTCTACAACCCAAATCCTCTCGTCTACTATGAACATGTGTGTCGATTGTTGCCTGCTTTTACTTTTCATTTTGCCTTAAGTGAAAGTTATTTACCACAGCACTTGCACTGTGTTTTAGTGAGGTTTGAATGTGTGGTTTGGGGTGCATTCACTCAAGAAGTCAGATGCATTTCTCCCAGTAATTATTTTTAGTTTGAAGAGTGCAACAAAGTAGTGCACCAAAAATATCTGAAAATACTTTTTCAGGCTGTTTTGGGGGAAATGTCTTTAATAACACAAAGCATAAAGGGATTGTTCACCCCGAAACAATATACATTTGATGTAGTACTCACCTCCCTGGGCTCTCTATGGTCCCAGAGAAAAAGTGTCTACCATGGCTTTAAGGAGAGCTGACTCAACACCATTTTCAGAAAGTTTTCAGACATTATATTGCCTTTTTTTGCTTCAGATTGAGTCAGATTGAACATACAGTATGTGCTTTCTTTTTTCTGGGGCTCAACCCAAAAAGCGACTGGAATGCATATAGCAAAACTTGTTTTGACTATGTGTGTGATTGCACCCTCAGACCTTTCTAACTGTTAGCATACTCGTGTGTTCAGTGTGTGCACATGCATGAATAAGTGTTCTGTGTGCATGTATTTATCTGTCTTTACGCAAGTTTGTAATTGCAGTTTTTTGTGCTAATGACGTGATTTCTTCAAACTAAATCTCTACTCTGCTATCTCCAACCTCTTCTCTTCCCTTCACCTATCCTCATGTAGCTTTCTTTTTCTGAAGCCATGCGGAATAAGGCCCGTCTGTCCATCACAGGAAGTGTGGGGGAGAATGGCCGCGTCCTGACGCCAGACTGCCCCAAAGCTGTGCATGCTGGCCACGCCTCCCTCCGACACCCCGGCCTTGCAGTGATCTCCTCCGGACTGCCCTGAAAACCAAAAACACCTGCCGTGCCTTAACGACACACAAACATAGAGACTTGGACAAGGATACACACACAACCACACGCAATCATACACTTACCAATATCCTGCATAACACACACACAGACACACAAATACATGCATTTAATAACAGATACTCAAAGCTCACATTTATACACACTTGAAAACAGAATCACAGACTGCGCATCATCATCTCACTTTCCTGCTGCCATTGACTTATTTTACAAGAGATAAGTGAAATTCAACTATGGAGTGAGCAGTGGAGAAAAAAGCAAAGGACAACAATGACGTTCACACTTGCCTGCAGCATTCATTCTGTTGTTTTTTGGGAGGACACATGACAGGAAAGCCAGCACAGACTTTTGTGAAATGAACTATGAGCTTCGAACCTGACCGCAAAACTGATCATGATGATGATGAGACAAATATGGTGATCGCAGCTGACTGTAAAAAAAAGAAAAAAAGACTACCAAACAACTCTGTTCCTGGTCTTTCTTCGTTGGACAGTGTTGGCCAATGAGCCCCACACCTTGACAACGCCTTACTAAGACTACAAACATTGTTTTCATCATCATCATCATCATGGTCAACGTCCTCTTAACTTGCCTGCAAAGAGTGCCAGGTATTATCACCCTTAGAAGACCAGAAAACTGTAAGCTTGAACGTTTGGACTGTACAAACCCCCCTTCTTTGCCATTGACTGTTCAAACTGAATGAAAATGCTTTCTTACTACGCATATAGAATAGTTTCTCGCCCCCAAAACCAGCGAGATAATCAGCCAATACAAAACAGAAGTAACCTCGAAACACACACATGTGGCTAATCTCAACCACATTATTCACAGGGGTTTGTAAAGAAAAAAAACAGTAGTAATTAATTAAGTCCTTCATCAATAGCATCGTCATGACAGTAGAAATGCTAAATAGCAAATTGTCCATTACTTTTTGCCTAGGGGCAAAAGGTGAGGTTTAAACTGTATATTCAGTGATGGAAATAAAAAATAAAACACATGGGCAGATCTCAAATGGCTACCTAACAGAGTGCTTCTCAACCTGAATGCAGGGACCTTATTAAAAATGTACAGAATAAATGGGAATGAATATTGTGTTTAATTATGGAAACTAATTCTGCCTCCATGTCTTCTTGAATAATTAATCCAGGCAATGGAAAAGGCAAATAAAAGTTCATCATTCTTTGCATGTTTCCTACTCACGGCTAGAGTAGTAAACCATTTGTTTCAAGTGCTGTAATAAGGTTGAGAACCACTATTCTATGCTGTGGGCACTTCATTTAACTTGACCTACAGTATAGGTATCATTTTCAATTTTCTCTAAAGGTAAATGACTCTAATTGGCAGTTAGGTTGTCATTTGAGATTTTCAGTCTTTTCCACTGGCCGGGTAAAGGTACCATATCAGAAAGCTTGCATTTTAAAACTGTTGTAAATAACTGCGTAGCAAAACAGAACTCACCTGTCTTTTTTAATCATCTTAGATAACAATTCATTGCAATAATGAATATAAAAGAAAATGCCAATACTTGTAATTAAAATCAAATCTTTTTTATAAATCTACATATTATATATATATAATACAAATAAATATATATCTATACGTCTATAGAGAGCTATAGAAAACATTGATCACAGATTGTCAGAGGCCATGGCATACATTCTGTTACATGGCTGTTTTTTTGATAACTTGAGAATATTATTATGCCACAGTCTTTGTGTGTCCTGCTCAACACTGAATGTCCATCTGACACTCACACGGACACACACATAGAATCGCACGCAAACACATTGTTGCATACACAGGGTCAGCTCAGAGTGATCACCACTTTATTTTTGCCTGTCTGTCTATTTCACCAGTAGTTTATCACTGTTCTTCATTGTCTAACGATGTTTGTTTTGTTATCACTAAACCTTCTGATAGCGAGCTGCAAAGGCCCCTGAAACAGCATGGAGATGCCAGTATTCAGCACTGGAGCCGATACAATGAGAACGCTCATTCAGGCAGGCTGCTAGAGAGGATGGGCCACTGCGATCACTGTACTGTAGAGAAACAATGCTGTCTGACTTCTGGAGGGTGTAGCATTTGTGTTGTATAACGCCTCAGTGCTTTTTGTTATTTGTCTTCTCACCAAAGTGAGTCAGCTTCAGATTGAAATTGAGTTCAAGCTGAGCAGGGTTTGTTATTTCTGGGGACATGTTTTGGTCTATCATACTTGGCAAGAGCAATCAATCAACATAACAAATCTGTTATATACCATATGGCAGTCTGCTTTGGGACATCCACTTAATTCAAGCCTTGGTGAGAGGAAAATATTTAAAAAAATAATAATATCTGAGGCTCAATTAGGATAAATTATTTTTAAAGGATTGTCAGTGCAGTTCTACTTTTTGTTGTAATGCAACTCGGTATGGTGGAAGTGTGAGATAGTGTCATAATACAACAGTACTGTATGTGGGAATGAAATATTGTGTGTTCTGCCCTGCTGCTTTTTCCTTTTCTCCCTTGACCTCTTTGGGTTTTTTCTCCCATTTATCCTGTGCCCTGCCGCCCATCCCTCAACTCATACCTCCCTCTTGTTTAGCCTCTCCCTTCCTCTCTTTCTGCTTTCGTCTCCCACTCCTGTCCTACAGTGTGACACAACTCTCTCTACAAGGAGCATCTCAGAAATGAAAAATAACTTTATTTTCCACCTTGACACACTGCAAAATAATGGGATAGAGAACTTGAGACATCACGGAAAATCTGAGTTTCTCCTGGTTCTTCGATCTGAACCTGGTATACCTCTGAAATCATAACCTCTAACATTTTACACAAAAAAGTCCCTTATTTGTTTAACTCACACATTTTGTTTTGTTTTACTTACACTGGACATCAATCCTACATCCAATGTAAAACACAAAAGAAAACGTTGAAAATACTATCTTAAAACCACAAGCTTCTGGCAGAAAAGATAGTTAGACAGTTTCTAATAACCTCTACTCCGCCCGGGGATCAGTACAGCAGCACTGCAGCAATCAAACAGGAGAGGGAAAAGGAAATAGTTATCCAGAGGATACATTTGTGAAGAGACATTTAACAAGGAGTTATCACCACACCAAGCAGACTGTACATTATACTGTTGTGTTTATTTCTTTGCCACCTCCAGCACATAAGATTTCATGCGTCGACAGCAAAAGCAGACTGCTAGTCTGTCCACACTCTGGCTTAAACACTGTTTCTTTCTTCATTTGTTTCTTGTCCTTCCATTTGGTTTCTTTTCTAGTAAAACATCAATGCTAAACCTGCTTTCTCTGCGTGGTTATTTATCCACTGATCCTGTCCCTGTACAATATACCGTCACCGGCCTGTGGGCCTTGTTTTACACCCAAATTATACTGTAGAAGTGATTATATTCAACATACTAAAATTAGACTGGCACTAAATCAGGATTAGCAGATATCAAGATGAATCAATAATAGTCAAATGTGAACAAAAACATGATTTGTTTGGTCGAGTATTTGTTTTACCTTGTTTTTTTTTAAATGTTGGAATGCTTGACAAAGCTACAAGGTCCACCAAAAGAGATGTACAGACATTCATGTGTGTACCACATTTCATGGTAATCCATCCAATTGTTGTTGAGACATTTCATTAAAAATCATAAAAGTAAAACCATAAAATGTCAGGGGATCATAAGTCAGTGTCAGTATTTTGGATCTGGGGATAGATGTTGTGCTAATCCATTTAATAGCATTTGAATTATTTGCACCTGGACTAAAGTGGTAAGCTTAAAAATGTTTATATGAATAGTATGTGCCAATCAGGGTCTTAATCAAACGAAGCCATAGTGGACGATTTAACCTTCAAATAATAGCTAGAACTCAATTAGTCAGTGGCTTTAAATGTTTAAAGAACAGCTGGAACTTTAATACTAACCAGAGTTTGTATATGTTTCTGTTGGGTATGTGAAGCCTCACATGGCGCAGTTTGGGATGATTTAGACCAGATGTTATGGAGTTGAATTCCACACTGCAATATTGTCATTTAGGCTAAATTATTTTTCAATCCATGGGGACGTTACACTCCTAATGCAGAGCCATCACTGACAAGCATTTCCCATTATTTCTCTTACACACACACACACACACACACACACACACACACACACACACACACACACACACACACACACACACACACACATCATGCTGGGTTATTACTGACAAGTATTTCCCATTTACCCCAATATGAAGCAAAATAACAATTTTGAAGTGGTTCCACGACCCTTTTAACCTTGCACCTTCACGTGCAAATGCACATGCACACCTTCAATCTGCCCCTTTATTGTCACTGTCGAGCGACAGCAGCCTTTTCACCTTTTTCATTTTGATTGGCTCATTTCATCTCAGCTTCTCAGTCTCAGTCTTTCCCCTCTCTCAGTTCTGCATTATCCCTCATCCTGTTCAGCTCCTGCTCATCTCTCCTGTTTTCACACTCTACTCCTCTTCTCCTTATCCCCCACCCCCCTGTCATACTTCATTCTTCCATTTCTTTGTATCCCTCTCTCGGGTGGAATCCATCTCAAACCCTCATTTCCCATCCACGGCTCTCTCCCATCATGACTGCTCTGACTTTCTCTTTGAGGTGTCTCTCATGATTGGATAGAAAATTGAATTCCATCAACACTCTCAGCACACACAAGCAGCTATTCCCCATGTCTTGTCCTTGCTTTTGTTGATGGACTGATGAAATGCATGTTTACTGCAGATATATTGCACACTTACCTATTCAGACAAGACATACTGTAGGATGACAACAAATAAACACAGAAAGCTGTGATTCTATCTGGTAGGCTCAATAAGACTATGATTGTCTGGATGAAACACATTTTCATTTGAAATGCCATGAGAAAAGACTGAAGAGTGATTTAAATGGAACTGATTACAAGTCAAATTAGAAGAAGAAAAAAAGATTACATGTAGACTTGGATGTGTAGTGTGAGTCGCCTTCTGTTCATCTGCTAATATCAAAAGCAAGTGAAGAAAGGTTGATAGAAAACTAAATGCCTTGGAAAGGAATGCCACTATTAATTCACATCAAGATTTTGAAGCTGGGCGCAAAATGCAGCAAATCCCCAAAGTGCTTTTGAAACTCCTGACAGTCTCTTTAAACCAATCCCCAATGGCCACAACAGTATCATGTTCTCCCCTAAATGTTATGAGTCTGCTGAATCTTTCAAAGACCTGAGCCTCTTTTTCTCACGCAGTCTATCCCTATATTGTCCAAGAACACTGCGTTATAAAAACAATTGGTTGAAAGACTTATTTCCTGCCCAGATATGGCCCAATGTAGAGTGACTGACATGGAACTGGTGTACAAAGTGGACCTCATATGTTTCTGATTAACATTTTTAAAACAATTTAAACGTGTGACGTGTCAATTTGCATCCGAGTGTGAATAATCACATGGCAACCCTTTAATATAGGGCCCAATAACTTAGTGAAGGCTTAGTCCTCCCTTGCTTTCATTACCATCTGCCCCTGCAGGCAGCTAAGCAGATATCACATGGAAGGAAGTCCAAACGGCTGACTTGAGCGTAGGGTAACTATTGACCTCAATACTTCATGCCTCCTAGCCCGAATCCATTGAAAGACCAACAGCGCAACCAATAGAGCTGCTGGTCGCACTCAAAAAATGGCGCAGCCCACCATGACAAACCATCTGACTGAAAGACATGATTGACACCATCAATAAAGGCATGCAAGTTGTTTTATCATCCTCACAGAAACCTGGCTGTAGATGAAATACTGGTCGCCTCCAAGGCTAAAACTGGGGCGACCCAGTATATTACAGCTGAGGAATCAAGCTGTTTGCCATGGATGGTTTAAAGAATGAATACACAGTGGACTTTTCAATTTACACCAGCAAATGCAACATCCCCTCTCAGCATGGCCTGATGTTGTGATGTCCCTTTTGCAACCACGTTACCTTGGCACAGGCTATCACATACTGTGTGGACAAGTTATATTCTAGCCCCAAGCTATTCAGGGTTTGCCTGGAAGACTTACAAGGAAAAGGGAGAAAAATAAATTGCCCTCAGACAAAAAAAAAAGCATGATAATAAGATTACCATAAAATAGATTTGGGATGATCGAAGCATCTATGTAAAATGTATGGACATAGTATCATTTTCCTACAAATTTCATACAGCACATATGGCGGTTGAGAATTTAAAATAAAATAAAAGCGTGGACAAGACCAACATTTAAATAATTTTAGATTACGAAAAATGTACTCTTATAAAGGTATACTACTAGGTATCAGATCACTTAGTATATTTCAAAACGTTTTTTATTTTTTATTTTACATTACTAGAGTAACAATGTGGTGCAAGTTTTAATCAACAATTCTCCAAGACAATATATATAATAGGAGACAACTGTGTGTACTTTCAGTCATATGCAGATGACACAGAGCTACTGTATGTTTAAGTGCCACTCACTGATTTAAGCCTCCTCATCAATATATATATATTATCATGTATTGGTGATGTTCAACACCACAAGCACACGTCCATGTTTACTATGTCACACGTACAGCATTTTACTTGTTGCAAAAGTGATACATCAATGTATTACTTTATAACCATCATACTGGGCATCTGTATTTCTCTCTTTTTTCTCCACTGATAGAAAGGGCAATTCTGCTCACAAAGACCTAAGGTTAACTCTGAGGTCCATACACTGTTTTTCAAATCCTCAAACACCCAGGTGAATGTCAGACATGCTTTTAAGGTATTAGGCCCAAACGTGGCTTTAGATCAGAGACCAGAGACAGAGGCCTTTTACCAAGAGTCAGATCCCTTGCAATAGGGAGGCATTGTTTTTATCATTGCCACCTTTTGGACCTGAGCATATCTTAGTCTTTGGACATTAAAGTATATTCTTTACAGCTGTTTCTGCTCTGCTAAGAATCATCAATGGTTAGCTGTAAGGCTCCGGCCTGTTCAGCCTAATATGATTGTTTTTCAATTTGACTGCATTGCTGTAATAGATAAATAGGTAATAACAGTATAGATTTCAAATGTAAAAACTGGCAATTCCACCTTTGGTTTCAACTGCCTTGTCTTAGACAGTCCACAAAGCAGTTGATCGAGTCACTGCAGAATTTAGGGACTCTTTTTCCTAACAAACAATACAGTGGATTGTCACACCAGTTCTTAATCCAGACAGAGCTAAAGAAGAACCTTTTATATATAGCTTTCATCTCGCAGGCAGACAACAAAATAACCCTTAAATGGAAAAATATACTAGTCTTTGTGATTCAATCTGCCCGCTTTGAGTCCCTGCCTTTGTTTGTGTATGTATCTATGGAAGCACAGGTGATTTCAGAGTCTAAAAGAGGTCTCACTGATGGATTAAGACATTTACTGTCAACTGTAACCTGCCAGCTCTCTTGGCTATTTTCAGTTAAAGGTTTGTGGATCCCATGTTGCTGCTCTCCTGCCAATATGACACAGATAAACAAATGTTTTTAAAAGGCACGAGTGTCTCTGGGTTTCATGAAATCCTCATAAGTGTTCTACTTAGAGATGCAGGGTTTGTGTATCACATCAGTGTCATGCTCTCCAAGTGATTTGAACGCTTGTCTCTTCTTATCAGCCTGCATTGATCCAGGGAACTCCTGATGGGCTTCATAAGGAGCATCACTACAGAGGAGATGAATGCTTTATTTTAATTATCTCCTTGTTCTCTTTTCCCATTATTCTTCAAAGGCAAGGCTGAGGACATAAATGCACAATAAGGACCACAGAGGCTTCGTAAAAGCATTACTTTGGGGGTTGGATGTGGAACAGATTTTATTCATTTCTAATCTATAATAATAACACATTTTGTCTGGAGGTCACATTTTATTCTTCAACAAACTTGTCAACACAGAGAGTAAAAAAAAAGATGCATACATTAAAATAGAAGAAAATAATTTAAAAAAAGCCATGTGACCTGATAACAACTTTCTTAAAAGGATAAATTGGTATTTTGTTAGGAATTAAGTTACAAAAAACTTGTTTAAATAGTTTACAACAAAAAGGCATAATAAAGTGTCTTTGATGTGTTAGACAACCTTCAGTACACAGTAGCAGAATGTAGTTTTCAGCAAGTAACACACGAGAAAAAAAAAGAATAAATATTTCACTATAATTGTCTAGCATGCAAACAATACTTCCAGTAGCTGCTCATTTCAGGGCTCTTTTCAAAATCCACACATCTTGATGGGAAAAACATCAAGTGTTATTTCATAGCAGACACAGTAGGAAAGACACAGGTGTAAATAACTCAATCAATGATAGCTGAATTCCATTTAGCTTTAAGGGACCCTGTATTGTTATGCAGCCTCACTGTCAGGGCTAGCTGGGATAACAAAACAGAGCCATCATTAATGTTATTAGTAACACTTGTGATTTTCATGACATGACAAATTAAAATATCTACTGTGAAAAAAAGCGAAGATGAAATATTTGTTTTAAAGTGGTGGACGAATGTATAAAATCCCAATCATTCACCTGTAAACGATATATTCATACCATCGATTGACAGCATAACATAAATAGCATACAAATACTTCCGTACAAGTAACATTGGTTTATTTTGTTCTTGTGTGTTGGAAGCTAAATTATACAGAGAAGCACCCATGCAGTAGATTCATTGGCACTGGTTTTGTGCATAGACACAGAATGAAACATCATGATTCCATTCTTTCATATGCCATTGTCATTTAACATTAGTAAGCATTGATATCCCAATTCATGTTTAACTTTATTCTACTGCACGTTTTGATGAAATACTCAACATGTTATAAATCAAATAGGTTCAAGGCCAAACAGCTGGATGTGCCAAACTAATCCTAGATGTTATCATCGTGGCGTATTTTCTGTCCTGTCACCCATTTTATGAAGACATCATAAGGCACTGATTTATCATGGTGGTCATAAATATGTCAGCCCTCCATCTCAGTCTTCTCCTTGGCCAAATTCCAGTCAGGAATGATCATATAACTGTCTCACACCTTCCTTAAGGATGTTTCTTTGTAAGGAACTTAATTAAGGAGCAGCTGCTGATGCAATTCATGAATTCTGGGTTGTTTTCAGTATTACGAGCAACCCTGAAGCTGGTGAAAATTGAATGTATTATCCATCCCTTTTTTATCTCTTTTATCCGCCTTATTCTCAGTGGCCCTGATGATCTTTGTGCAGCTGCATTCTCTCTTTCTCCACTTGGAGGCGCTCTCTCTCAATCTGAAGTCTGCCGGCCTCAAATTTGAAAAACTGCAGCCTCTCTTTCTCCAGCTGCACTCTCTCCTTCTCTAGTTTTAGCCTTTCAGTTTCCAGATCCACCAATGGCATCCAGCATTTACTGTCTTTCTCCCTATGTCCATCATGAGTGGAGGATAAAGAAGACGTGGAGGACGAAGGCGGGCCTTGTTGGGGCGGCAGGTTAAAGGATGAGTCCACACGCTCTGAATGTCTGAGCAGCAGAAGCCTCAGCCTCTCCCTCTCCACCTGTAACCTCTCTCTCTCCAGCTGCAGCCTTTCCCTCTCTACCTCCATCTGACGGAGTCGCTCCTTCTCCACCACCAGCCGCTCTTTCTCCACAGCCAGGCGTTCAGTTTCCACAGCCAGGCGCTGTTTTTCCAGCTCCAATCGCTGTTTCTCAACAGCAACCACAAACCCGGCCCCCATGTTTTCATGATTGTTTAATCCACCCAGAGCGTGAGCTTGCATCCCATCAGGCCTCCAGCGTGGGGCAGGTCTCTGTTGGTGGTGGAGGTTGGTGCCTTAGAAGAGCTAAGCATGCCCAAGTCATTGTGGCAGTAAACATTCCCAGCATGCCCCTCGCCGCGTGACTCTATGTCGCTGAGGAGTGAGGGAATATCATCATCTTCTATTTCTCCGTCTCCCATATCACCATCACCATGCAGCTAGAAGGATAAAGGGAGATCATTAAATACAGACTAGACCTATTTTCCCATAGACTGTATTAAACATGGACATGGTCTCCATGAAGACACCCACATGTTTCTGACGTGCCATGGGCGAAGAAGTGGGCTGTTGTAGGAGCATAAACTGGCCTGTGTGATAAAGCAAGCAGACATCTAGCAGCTCCTCTGACCACACCCACCTGTCACTCAAGGCCATGACACCCTTAATTGTGCACTCAATATTTTAAACAGGTGAGTTATATGAAAAAATACACCCCTTTAAGCTCCTATGAATAGGGAGGTTAGCATTATATGACCATGCTTTTCTGCTGTAGAGTTGGGCGTTTTACGATGGGGGTCTATTGGGATCAACTCACTAATGGAGTCGAAGGTCGACACTTGGATTTTGCACATGACTTTAACTTTACTTGTCATGAGAGGCAACACGGCTCTTATCCTGTGAAAACAGCTCTACTGTATAGTGTGTCTCTAGAGGGAGTTCTCCAAGTCTAAGAAACTAACCCTGATGATACAGTAGGTGACGAAATGTGAGATTGAGTTGCATTATGGGAAAGGTAGGATTCAAGCGTTTCTATAGCTTCACTCATGTAATTGATAACACATATTGCAAAGTGTTGATAGTTATATTCCTGAAAACAACTCTGAGCTTCTGTGTTGTGAGTCTTTGGTTGTGTTTTTTTTTTTTTTAAATAGACTTGATACAGGTTCATAACACTGGAGAGAAATAGGCTGCAAGGTTTTTTAGGGATTTTATGAGGAACATTGTAACACTGCAGTGTGAAACATTTTTGATTATCTGATAACAAATCTTAATGCAATCAGAAAAACATACATTTTACGTCAAGTTTTAATTAAATCCTAATGAATTAACACATCCCTTAATTTAATGTAATTCCTACCTTGTGAACATACAAGAGTGCAATCAATAGGCCAGATTAACAAGAGCCACTTGATATAAAATATGCTGGCATCATCACTGGGATATGTAAAACATAACTACCTCTGCTGATGAGGATATTAATTAAGCTCATTAACACATCATCAAGGTTAACATACGTAGGGTACTTGTAGTGACATTAACCGTGTTAATGTGAGCTCTGTGTCAAAAAGCATGAAGGAGATTGAGAAAATCATTTTGTCCTCATTTACATGCAAATGTAATTAATAGACTGAGGTTTAATTAGAGTATCTAATCTATAGTAAATGTATACACACTCACTGTGGCACCATAATGTTGATGATGGGTTTCTTACCCTGTATTCAGTGACATCTTCCTCCATCTTCACCCCCATTATGGACTGCCCGCTCGGCTCACTGAGAGCCACCAACTCCGGCCAGTCGCAGTGGCAATCCTTGGAGAGGCTAGAGAGGTCAAGCAGCTGGTCACATCCAGATCCCAGAGAAGCTGCCTCATGCTCAGGGGAGGACTGATCATACTCAGTCTTCAGGGCCATAGACGAGGATGAGGAGGAGGAGAGGGACAGCTCAGCCCGAATCTGTTTTCTCTTCATCAGTGCACGCCAGTCTAGGTAACGACGCTTCACCTGCACAGGAGATAGGGATGGAAAGGATCTAGTGTTTTTAAAGGTTAAATATAGGAAATATAAAAGTGTGATTTGAATGTGGGGATAAACAAACCTCTGCTGCAGTGCGTAGCTCTCCTTCCCCCAGTAAATTAACACCTCGAGCCACTTCTTCCCATGCCTGTCTCTTCAGCTCATTAATGGCTGTGTTCTGTTCACACACAACGAGGTGAATAGAAATAACAATTACAAATGTTGTGTTGTTGGGATAAGTAAAGTCTGGAAAAATAAAAATGTTAGTGCTCTCTGGTGGACAGTGGAGATAATAGGGATGCTGCTAAATAATTGTTTTAAATACTTTGGAATTTCAGCACTGCGCATTTGTTTTACTTATCAGCTGATCCACCTGTGACGCATTGAATAATCTAGGTTAACTCTTTTATGCGTCATAATTTGTTTTTCTTTGTTGTATGGATGAGCATGTCAAGAACACAGTACAACTTACTCATATATTTAAAATGTATGATTTCAGTAATGAGTTAGTATACACTCACAAAGACATATATTAAAAAACAAATTCTTCAACTAAAGTCACACACATAGAGGTGAAAGGGAAGAGGAAATCTGCACCTGCTGTCTGGAGAACAACACGTCCGTCCTTTTGTGGATCTCCCTGATAAGAGTCTGTGTTTCTTTCACACTGTAGTTGCTCTTTCTCTTCCTCTTCAGATGTTTCATCTGCAGGAAATCCAGCTTGGCGGCAAGGAGGGGACCGACACCCCAGAGGCACAGAGAGACAAACAGAGACGAGGAGATATACCTGGAGAGAGAAGACAAGGGTGAAGTTATGGAGATAGCAAGAAAAAGTAAGAAGGTAGGTTAAAGAAAAAAAAAGTGTAGATGGAAACTTGAAGTTCTCCACCTGGGAGGCTCATCCCAACTCTTACACTCAATGCAAGCTCTTTGTAACAGCATGTGATACTTGAAGTTGTGGAAAGAAGTGTGATAGGTTGCAGAGCTCACACCAGTTTGGCTTAAAGAGTAAATCAAAAGCCTTATTATTTCCCAGTGGAAGGTTCACTTTTACCTTTATAAGGCCCTGATTCGATGACGTTATAGCCACATTATTAAGAAAAGGCTCTTAGGTGTCCAACCAGCCAGGTGAGCTTACACAGGAAGATACACACCACAGGCTGAAAGGGCTCTACACATTTCCTGTATGTAAAAAAGGGACACAGAAAGGGAAAAATTAATGTTGTTGGGATATAAAGTGTGTATGAAGTGTGTGTCAAATCGTCAGTATACCTAAAATCCCTACATTTGGCACAGATGGCTTTAGAGTGTGTAACACGTTCGCCACCTTAGACCGTCAATTTGTAGAAGGAAAAACTCGAGATTTAAAAAACTGAAAAAAAAGAACACACCATAAAAGGGGAGAATATGCTATTAGCCTTATAGTATAGGATATACAGTAAACACAATATCTAAAAGCCCTACATATGCTCCAAATATGGAAAATATTCAGTGTGTAATGTAAGGTTAATTGCAGGTATACGACATGTGCGTTTCTTCTATTTGACTACATGTAGATACAATACCCACATACGCAATATGTGCTTTTTGGTTATACCATCCTGTTTTCTCTAACATGTATTTTATAGTTTATAAAGAAAACGTGTATTTTTTCGAGGAATAAGCTACGATGTATTAGCTAGTGATTCCTAGTATTTTTTTAACCAGACGAGCACGACACAATTTTATCTTCGTAATTACACATGTAACACCGTCATGTCTGTTGCCTATTCTACCACCACCCCAATATAACTATATATGCAATATATGTATAATACAACTCACCTTACGCACACGGATGTTCCGAAATCACAACAACATCGTAGAGGTACAATTGTAATGCTGCATTCAATGTGAGTCGGGAAAAAATTATATTTTAATATTCACGCTTTAGATGCGTCTTTAAAGGTGCAAGTCGGATAAAATAATTTTGAATTGAAAATTGGACAGTGAATTAAAACATGTTGTTTTCTTTATTAACGCATCAAAGCAATACCCCGCCATTATGTAGACGAGGAAATACGTTTAAAAGCTTTGTAAGAAAGAGGCGTGGGTAAATTGTTTTTTAAAAGTGTGATAGTAAGGAAATCCATGTATTTACAATCAACTGGCTTCGGGGAATTATTTATGTATAGGGTATGCAAAAACTATCGTATTTATTATCTACAACATGGCTTTGCCGTTTTTACAATATTCCTGAGAGTACGTGAATGTACCGTTTGTTGCGCACTGTTGTGATCGCTCCTATTGGCCAATCGTCCACCGCGCCCACTTATGACGATGTTGAGTCACGCCGGGCTCTTCCGGGCATGTTAACCACTCTCAAATCCAAAAAGGTAAACAGAGAGTTGTCATTTTATTAGCAGCTCTCAGTTATGTGCTGCTCCGGTGCTCCACTGTTAAGTTATAAAGCATCAGATGAGTGCTGTTGTCGGTCAAGTCGTACATGCTAATGTGCAATGCTAACTCGTTTGCTAACTTGTAAGCAGTCTGAAGGTGTGGAGGAGAGATGACCAAAGCGAGGTGAAGAGATGGGCTCTGTTCGCTGGGCTTTTCTCTGTGGGTCCTGGAGACCCAGCAGGTCTGAGTGGATGTTAGCTAACCGCTGCATCCAGCGGGAGGAAAGAGACAGGATCGGACAGTTCGTGTTTGCAAAGGATGCAAAGTCAGCCATGGTGAGTCTGACTGTAAACTTTGGGTTATCTTACTGTGGAACTACCACCCGAGTTAGGTCCTTTCCCAGTGGTCAAATCAAGATATCCACGTGTAATATTATAATATGTCCACAACCAAGGAATTAGGAGACAATACCCAGGGGAAGTCCGTCTTAAGTTAGAAATGTAAGTTCACAGACTGACTGTATTACTAATGTACACTGGAAGAGTATGGCCTTGTATTTTATATAAATATTTGTATAAAGATAATCATATTTCAATGGAAAAAAACCTGCCATATTTGTCCAGTGTAGAGGTAGAAACACACTGCATGGAATTTGAGTCATTAGGTCACTATGGCCTCAGAGCTATTGTGTTCATAACATTCATAACAATATGAATTTAAAATAAAATAAAATAATCATGTAAATCTCATTCAAAGAGTTGTGCCATACGTGTACTTATACAATTCCTTATATAATATTCCTTATTCCTAATATAAGAGATTTCAATTTGAATAAAAAAGATTATTTCCTAAAATGTTTCAAATAAAACAGAAATAAGCACTCAAATCCTGTTAAAAAATACTTTTCCTAATGTATCTAGTATAGTTATTCAACGCTGCATTGCCTCAGCAACATGTCAGCTGTGGACAAGAGACAGCTGGACATAATGGAAGTCATTAACACTGCTTTAAGGACTATTAGATGAGGCTAGACATCAAAATAAGATCCTAACGTTTCAAGAGTTTACAACTAAGACACTCCACTAAGAATCATTAAGAACAATACTTCCTGCTCATATCCCAAAGCTGTCCTTCTTTACACTGCAGGCCATGTGGCATGGTAAATAATGGTGCAACAGGGCAGATGTTTTTATGCACTTTTAGCCCTTTATGTAGTGGGTTGTTTGATGTTGCTGCTAATTTCCTAACAGGTGTCATGTTTCATCTACAGTTTCTCAAGAGAGGATTTTATGTCGCCCATATGCTTTATGTTTTAATAATTATTTTATGACTTAAGATATTACCAAGAATGTATCTTTTATTATATCCATTATATGCTTTACGACTGATTAGCTCTACTATTTTTGTCTTTCTCTGTCTTTGCTAAGTGAGCTCACTTAGATACATTCCAATCAATCATGTCGATATGGCAATAAAGTATTTCATTTTGAATACACTGACCATCTGTCTCTCAGGCTGGCAGGTTGCTGCTGAGGAGATTTGTGTGTGAGAGGATGGGGATCCCGTGGTCAGAGATCAGATTGGAGCGATCTCCCAGGGGGAAACCTTACCTGGCAGCTCCACTAAAGGTTAACACCGTGATTTTTATCTAAAGTAAACAAAGTCTGGATGTGTACTTCCTATCCCACCAGTGGGCCAGTGGTGACTGTCAGAACACAGTGATAAAGTATTGAAATTCACTTGTTTGCCCCTTAACTACACTCACAGGGAAAATTCATCTTATGTAGTATTTTAGATGTATAACAGGATATGTGTTCTACATCACATTCTATATAGTAAGAAAAGAATAACCTTGCATGGAACTTGGGCACTTGTACTTTTTGAGCTCGACACATAACGTATGTAAATGCAGTTATACTGGATTGTTGCTTTGACTAAGGGGTGTTGCTAGATAAAGTTATTTGGATTAAATGTGATATTTAAAAAAACAACAAATAGTTATTTCAAGTCAATGCACATATTATAATATTGTTTAATCCAGCGCTTATAATGTATGCTTTTGTACAGTTATGGTTACAGACTTTCTCAACCAAAACAAATATGTTTCCTGTTTTTTGTTAAAAGATTCTATAAATAACGATGTTATCTCAAACTTTTTTGGCCAAAATAATCTTGAAGGGAAAATCTGACCTACCCAGTGACTTGATTTAGTATTCTATATTTTCACCTAAAGCTTAGACCATACTATAATTGTCCCACTATAATAGACTGAAATAGTAGCCATGTTCTATGTCGTCTTGTAAAAATATCCACTGTTTGATGACTGTGATGCCCTTTATTTCCAGGTCAGATCAGATTCAGGCACTGAACCCCTGTCCTGGAGTTTTAATCTGTCCCACCAGGGGGACTACGCTGTGCTCGCTGCAGAGCAGGGAGGGCAGGTGGGAGTGGATATCATGAAGAACACCATGCCAGGTAAATGCTCTGAGAATGTGTTTATTTATTTCAAAAGAATGGTTTGGAATAGCAGCAGAGAGGCAAAAAAACATCAACTCACGTATGACACATTTTGAGAAAAACTGTTATAGTTGGGGACTTAAAAGCACACACACGTGTTGTTACAGACATTTTGTTGATGTCTTCTGAAATGTAAAACTTTTCCAAATTCAAACATGCTCCATTTGATCATGATAAGGCTTAAAATATGAGACTTCTAAACTCAGTGTCAGCAGCTGAAGTCCTAACAATGAGGCAGAAATATATTCTATATTTTCTGTGTGTTTTTCAATTTGACCACAAGAGGCCACTGTTGCCTTTTTAATGTAAAAGGTTAAGGCGTGTATAAGTGTTTGGATTCCTCTGTGTGTGCACGTGTGTGTTACAGTCACATTTATATATGAGGCTTTTCTGAGAAATGAACCATCCACAAGTATCTAAAAAAAAAAAAAATGTAATCCTGGTAGCGCTCTATTCTATCTCTGATACCTAATTTTCTTTCCCCTCGTCTCCCTCCTTCCCTTTCCTTCTGTTTTTGTCTCTTCCTTCCTTCTCTCTCCTCTTTCCTTTCCTCCACCTTCCTTCATTCCCTCCAGGTACCAGCTCTGTGCCAGAGTTTTTCCGCATCATGACTCGTCAGTTTACAGCGTACGAGTGGAGCGTCATCCAATCAGCCGGCACGGAGCACCTGCAGCTTGCCGCGTTCTACCGCCACTGGGTAACCATGGCAACCGTCCTACCCTTTCGTCACATTGCATTGCTGCTGGGCCCCACGGGCGGTGTGTGTGTGGGGGGGGGGGGGCATAGGGAGGAAATAACATTGTAAATGTCCTTTGAGACACACACACATTTGTACAAAAATATGTATTCCTGTGTGATTTCTTTACTAAATTCCAATATTTATCTTTTTGTCCCGTTTTGTGCTTCTCTATCCCTGCATTTCATTGTGACTTAGTCCTCTCTTTCTTCTCACCACCTCTATCTTGTTTTGTTTCTCCATGCACACACACACACACACACACACACACACACACACACACACACACACACACACACACACCCTAACACACACACACAGATGGACGGCGACAGCAATGGTGGTGCTAAGTAAAGATGTTGTGAGAGTGAGAGGGTGGCACAGAGACGTCAAGCTCTGATATCATCATCACCACACTGTTGACTAATGGCAGAGTTCGACGGTTGCCATAGTGATTAGCCTTGTAATACTGTTATTGTGGCTCATTGGCTGCCGAGCTGGGTTGGTTTTGGCTGGACACACACACACACACACACACACACACACACACACATTCACACAAAATCACTCTTTTGTATACACACTGTTATACATGTGTGCATAGATTCCCATCTGTTGTGGTTTTAAGTTATTGTGCTACGGAGCCAAAACAGACAAACACACAGACACACACAGAAACACAAAGTGGCGCAAACAGACTGTATTTCTCCGATTTGTCAGGCATACAAATGTCCTTCTTTTTCCTTATGTGCCGGGGATCATTTTCTGCATGCAACTGATCAAGTTTCCTCCCTTTTCCTCCAAGGCCTTGAAGGAGAGCTTCATCAAAGCCATTGGCACGGGTCTGGGCTTTAACCTGCAGAGGGTGGAGTTTCACCTGGCCCCTGAACCGCTCACACAGAAACATGTACTGCGCCAGACCAAGATGCATCTCGATGAGGAAGAAGAAGAGGACTGGATATTTGAAGTGAGTCTTGTGTGTGTCAAAGGACAAAAGGTTATACATGGTAATATTCCAAATATGATGACCTGATATAAACAATAATCTGTAGTTGTACCTTAATTTCCTGTTCTGAGAAATAATTGCGTAATATTGGAAGCAGCATGCAGTGTTTTTGAGCGAATCATTGGCAAATTTCCTTTTTCCTTTTGTATGTGGGTATGATTCACGTTTTTTATTTATTTGGATCCTTCAAATGTTTTATATTGCCCAAAAGAGGCTTTGCCAATGTGGTTTTTCCGCACCATATAAAGGAATAGTTAAATCATATCCGTATCTCAGTTTCAACGCCTAGCCAAGATATTGTCCTGCACATTGCACAGCTTGTTTAAGTATTTTCGCAAAATATTCATCCATTAATTTAAGAGGGGGAACAAAGACAGTTTTGTTATTGAAAAGAGGCATGTCCAATGTATAGTATCACAGACAGACAATATTTACTTTGACAGCACTCCTTTTATGTAAAGATAGTTTTAAAAATGCTAATGTCCTCTTATTAGTGTAACTAACATATGTACAGTTTGACGCTGCTTTAAGGGAATCAATTAGCTGAAAAGCAGCTCTCTGTGGGCTCCTGTTCTCCTCCGTTCTCCAGTGGCTGCCCCCCCCCCCTTGAAAGTATCTGCAAAGTGAATCACGCGTGGTCTTTGCAGAGAAATACCCACAAGGGATTGCACTAAGGGAGCCTTCAAGTGGCCCTCCAGCCCTCCTAACACTGGGACAAGAGTAAGAGGAGTGCACCCTCATTCACTGTCAGAGTATAAGAATCCTCTGTTGCCATCTTTCTCCAATTGATCTCCTCCTTTCTGCTCCTCTCTTTCATTTATTGTCCTCTCCACCTCTACTTTGATGTATTTTAGTCTCTTCCCCCCCCCCCCCCCCACCCCTGTATTTTTCCTCTCCATTCCCCCTCACATCCTCCTCCTCTTTCCTTCATGGCCACTGGTAGATGGATTGACAAGTGACTGCTAAAAGGTTACCACTGGTCTGATAAGCCTAATGTCCCGTCTCCTCGTCTCTCTCCATCCCTCTCGAGGTCGCCGAGGCTTAATGCTGTTTTAGTGTCTGTGTTTTCACACTGGGGAATAACAGCTCACTTGTATTGATTGCAGGTAGATGGCAATGCATGTGTCCTCTTTTTAACTGTAGAGTGTAGGGGCAACAGCAACATACAGGATGAAGAGGAGCGAGTTGAAGCAAGAATCAGTGAAGCATAAACTGAAAATGGGATGCTCCCGCTAAATCTCCCCTGCACTGCCTCATTTTACAGCTGTTTGATTCCATATTTATATAGTATTCATTGTTGTAAGTTTGTCAGGTATTTGAACAGAAAACATTACAGTGCCATTTTTAAACAAATATAAATAAGGGCTAATTTGCCAAATTAATTTAAAAAAGTTAATTAATTATTTTTTTGTTGACAGAAAATGAACCTGCAGCTATTTTGATAATCAAATCCGTCATACAAGCAGAAATGCCAAACATTTGATGGTACCAGGATGAGGATCCTAATATATGAACATTTCCTCCTTTTTCTGCACTGTATATCATTGCAAATTGCATACCTTAAAGTTTTGAACTGTTCAACATTTTATAGACAAAATTATTAATCAATGAATCTAGAAAATAATCAGCACACAATTAATTAATATCAGCCCTAATACCATGGTATTCGAGCTTACTATTTTCTCCTATCATCTATAGAATAACTTAACTCTGTCTTCAAAATAAGGGAATTACAAGTAGATATTAAGTAGAAAATAATGATTTCATATGGCTCCAGCTGGCAATGAGAACAGTTCTTTCAATTATTCCAACTAACCAACAATATTTTTTAATATATATTACAATCAATACAATACATTTGACATTAAAATGAAGGGTTAATAGATTCTAACACTACGTTAAGCAGGTGTTGTAAATTATTTAAATCAGATGTTTAATCCCGTAAAGTGTTATTAAATATGACATTGTTTAGAGCACACACACACTACAGAGAAACTGTTCCTCTCTCTGTGCTTGCCCGATAACAGAGACACGCATCATGATATGTAATCAGGGAATGATTGCAGTGTTCTTGAGAGGTCAAATCATCTCAAATGTAAATGTTTAGTTTTTCATGTCATACAGAAATGTACACATTCGGAGCTCAGAGTGAACAGAGAGATGAGACGAGCAGCAGTCTGGTGACCTCCTGTCCTCTGACTCGCTGAGTGCTGATTGGCTGGACCAGAGAGCAGCTGTGACTGATTACTTCCTGCTGACCTCTGCTGATCACTCCTGCGGACTCTAGACAGAACCTGAAGGACCTATCAACGCCAAAAATACACAGAAAAAATCGAAATATTCTCTTTTTAGTAACAATTCCTGCTGAAATGTATCTAAACCCTAAATGTTTCTGTTTGGGCTCTCTATGCTCCCTTCTATCTGCCATGTTGTTACCAACTCCCCACAGCACACACACACATGCACGCACCACCTGTTACTCCCACGTATACACACTCAGTTTTTGGCCTTTCATTTCCAAGCATTTTTTGTCGTCTACAAAGCAAGTTATAGAGTGGACACATTAAGAACGAACGTTTGAAAGGGAATTTTTTAGGACAATCAAGGCTCAACAGGATTGTTAGTAATAGTGTGAGAAATGTGAATAAAAGATTAAATCAAAGGAATGTTTCATGTTAAGTACTGTAGTATAAGAAGGTCAACAGAAACTAAATCTGCACAGATTCAAAAAAGCTGAACATATAGATTTGAATCTGATTTTGCCATTTATAATTGTAATATTATTAGCACAGATGATATAGCATGGGTTACTAAGTTAAGATAAGATAGTACTTTATTGATCCCAATTTGGGAAATGTGTGTGTTGCAGCACCATAACATCATCTAGCTAAGCATTTTTCAGTAAATGAATTTATGCTTGATGTGTTTCTTCTATCACAAGCACGGGTATCGCTTGGCAAGCGTCATGTGACTTGTAAATACGGCAGCAAACATGCATTTATTCAACAGATCCGGGCGCATGCGAGGCGATTGGCTGTACAGTATCAACACCTGTGCACATATCTATTATTTGTCTTATAGTAGTTGCTCTATATTTCTAAGTGTTTGCTCTGAATTTTAATTAGCCAAATGTGTTTTAATATGTTATGATATGGGGGTTATATATAGTTGGTACTAATGTGTGGGTGTGTGTGTGTGTGTGTGTGTTTCTGCAGGAGAGCTTGCTGGATGCTGACCATCATGTTGCTGTAGCATTCGGACCAACAGACAAAACGGGGTCTGAGGTAAGGATATTAACAATATTAACAGTTGCTCATATTTATCAAAAGTCATTTAAATGTTTCATTAGCAGCCAAAACACTGCAGTTTTCTGATCACCTCTGAAACCGTGAAGAAGATGTGCTTAAAGAGCCATTTTTACACCGGGCTAAAAGTATCATTTAAAGGTCACGGCTTTCTCTGATAAGACGTTTAACACCCGACAGTGAATGTCCAAATGCTTGCCTTGTATATCCTATAAGCATTGGTTAGCGTGAGTCATAATCTATGATCTTAATTTGATTTAAGACTCCATTTAAAAGATCAATCCATCAGATGACAAGCAGACCGTTATCTACAACAACTTCTATCATTTAAAGGGGACCTATCATGCAAAATGCACTTTGTGATGATGTCTTTTATACATAAATATGTGTCCCCGGTGCGTCGGGGAACTCACGCAGCGTCAGAAAATAAAACCCTCTCTCTTTACCTCCGTACCCAAATCTTTTAAAAACGGGGGTACAACGAGCGGATACAGATTTGCCGCCGATTTGACGTCAAATCGGCGGCGGACCCACAGAAAGTTGCTATCAGAAACAATGCCTGACGTGTTTTGGACGTAATCTCGTCTTTGTTTACATTAGCAAGCCTCGCTAACACTCAGAGCTAACCTGTACTGTAGAGCACATGCGTTTAAAAAGCAGGAAATTAAAAAAAAACTCACCTTGTGATAAACCCGCAAGAGAAAAAACATTTGAGCTCCATACTATTTCAGAAATAATCCTTGACGTGGTTTAAACAGGATGGCGTTTTATCACAACCGAATTTAACTTTATCTCCGGTAGAATTCTGATCAGGCATTAGCTCCTCTTCTTCTTTTTTTCAAGCTAAGGACCCAAAATCTGAGTTTCTCTAACAGGGCTTCAAAAGAGGGGTTTGAGCAGTATGAGGCATGGCTACAATGGGTGAACTGTTTGGGATTTTGAAAAAAAAACTTCACAGACATGTTTTATATAGGTATGGCCCTACAATATATATTTCAAATATAGCATGATAGGTCCACTTTAAATAATTTTTTTATAAATAATAATGCCAAACATTTGAAGGTTTATTATTCGCCAATAACTATAGTGATCTACAATACATGTCACATAATTTAAACTTTTTAAGACATGACACATTGATCTTTAGGATTGTGCATTGTAGGAGTATTTTTGAGGTATTTTAGTAATTGAAGGCTCTTCTCTCTTCCTCTCAGCTTTTTCGTCCGTCTCTTCCCCCTGCCAGCTCATTTGCGCTGCTGTCGTTCAGCGACCTCACCGCCTCCGCCTCCCCTCTGACGGAGGAAGACCCCGCCTGCTGGGACAGCTTCGAGATGAAGGCTGAAGCTCCACAGAGACAAAGAGACACACACACATCCGAACAACCACCTGTCTCACGCTGACGCTCACCTGATATGCACACACACATACACACCTTTCATAAGTGCCAAAATGAAACGCACTCTCACTGACAGTGAAGCTGCTTTTTCATTCAACACAAGTCCAGTCAAGTTTATTTATAAAACCAAGGATCACAGGTCTGTCTCACAGGACTTCAGAATCCTCACAGAATCTGACACCTTCTATCTTTAAATCCTCGGTTCAGGTGGAGAAGAAGTCTCAAAAGAAATCTGATTCACACACGAGAAATACTGTGTGGTACATCCGAACATTAAATGTTGATCAATACATTGATAGTGTGTACATTATATTAACTTCCTGTATAATTTAAGAATACACATTGTCCAACAAGCTTCTCATTATTGATCCTTATCGGCCTCACCAATTCATTGTGTGTGTGACGTACAATATGTAATCAAATGTTTCCTCTCAAGGCATCAGCCATTTATTTTTTTCTCCTGCAGTTATTACAAGTTCCATGCAGAGCAACATGTAAAGTATCCAAGTACTACTTTGCATTGTGTTGTACATTTTTTTTAATCTTTTCAGTCCTGCTCACATCTGTGTGTGTCCTCTTCTTGTCTCACATGGAAGTACATGTGCACAGAGCTGGGTAATCATTCAATGTGGTTACAGATCAATATTCTGTAGTATTTTAGCTCATGATCATATTATGTCTTCCTGTTTTCATATGCTACCATACCAGTTTTTATTAAAATACATTGGTTATTGAGCATTTTGTTTTATCCTTTAAAGTTATTATTTTAGTTATAATCTGAAGCATTTCAGTGGCAGCGCAGTTTGCAAATGAATGCAAAATAAAGCATCATATTACTTTACATGTGATTGTGCTTTATTTTGCCAAATTGTGACAATATTGGAAAGACTTTAGTGTGTGTGTGTGTGTGTGTGTGTGTGTGTGTGTGTGTTGTGAGCTGTGTGTCTTTCTACTCTTCCTCTGTATAGCTAAATATATCAGACTTTTTTTATCATGCTTTAATTCTCTCCGTCCTGTCTTCCTCCTTATCTCTTCCATTCAGTCTCTTTCTTTCCTTTTCTCTGTCTATCTTGTCCCTCCATCTTGTAGTGCATCTATTTGAATCAAGGACATTTAGTAGCATCTCTCTCTCTTTTCTTTGCAGTTGATTTCTTGCTCCATCCTCCCTCTCTCTTAGTAGATGCAGTCAGTCTGCAGGTTTAACTCTTCTTTCTGCATCGCATTACATTAATCACAACATATAATCATAAGCCTCCTCCCCTGCACACAGAGAAGGAAATGACGAGCCAGAGGTCAAGAGATATGTGGTGTATGCGCCATGTTTGTGACATTAATACCCCTTTTTCATCCCTGAGGTACATATGCCTAAAACAGTGTGTCCTGACACTCCATAGGTAATCATACAGCTATGTAGGGCCTTTGTTATCATGTGCTACTCTGATATTAGAAGAGTACATTCAGTATTTTCCCAACAGGTAAACAGATAGAAAACAAACAATGAGGCTGCTGCAGAGCAATAATCTTTTTACCGTAATAATGTGAGAAGAATGGCAATGAGTTATCTCAATGTCAATACAAATGTGAGTTCAAATTCAACTTTTTAATACAAATACAGAGACGGGTGTGCAGGAAAGGTCATTATTGACTTTCTTTCTTCTTCTGACAAGTCTGGGCTGTCAGTGTCACAACCTCACACACCTGACACGGACCTGAGGTGTTACCGACCTGCTATCTGACACCACGACTTGTACACCTTCTGCTCGTGTCAGGTATCACTCTTGTTCATTTCTTTCTATCAGATCTATTCTCTGATTTACCTCACCATTGATTTAGCTTTTTTCAATTAAGGGAGGTGATGATATAGATGAGCCTGCTGCAGATGGTTTCATGGAGGACACACACCCACACGCAAGTACTTACTTTATGTTGAAGGAAAAGGGCAGTCATTCAGTTTAAAACACATGTATGCACGTGTGTATGCTGTTAAAATAGCTTGAAAACACACACACACACATAGATGCAGTCATTGCCTCCAGCTGGAGTGAATTAGTTTGTCTCCTCACCATCTTAAATCTTGTGCTCTCTGCAGCAGTGAAGGAGGAGAGAGGAGGCGGCGGGGTCAGACTGGAGTCACACACAGCTTCCTGACAGAGAAGCCATTTTTAGTTGCACCATGTTTACTGCCGTGTCAGAATGGAGACCTTTTTTTAGCAGGAGGGAGGCAAGAGTGCTTTTGGCATTAGGAATATAATTTACTCTGCTAAAAAAGTTGAGACCTATACTGTTAAGGATAAGAGCAACATTTGTCATCTAGAAGTGGAGGATATCTTGTGCTGCATTTGGACAGTTAATGTTTAAAAAAAAATGTGATTCAATGTTTAAAAGTCCCTGTTTTACAACTAGCATCAAGAACCAGACTTGGTTTGGTGTTTGTCTGGAAAACATAGTCAAAGGGGTTAACTTTTTCCTTCTTATTTTCTGCTGGATACTTTATACTTTGGAAGTGGGGTGCTTTGATGAAAAACTTTGATAGCTGCAGCTCAGAGTGAGCATAGAGGTAGCCATTGCCCTGAGTGAACGATTCCTTTCTCAATCCCAGCGTTGAGGATCCTGTTTCCTCAAAAATGAAACTAATTTTCTGTAACCAATGAATTCCTCTTGCGACTAGAATTAGTAAAACTCAATTTGTTTTAGTCTTTATTCTTTGTTTTACTTTTGCCGAGTGTTTGAGCCACAAAAAAAGCACAGTGATAATAAGTAGCATCCATCAAGAAGGCGTAAAATGGATGTATGTTGAGCAATAATCACACAGTACAGTATTTTTTAAATGTTGTGCAAAAGGTTATTGTATAGTATGCAGAAAAGTCTGGGAGAAAAAGCATAGTTGACTGTGTCAAAAAAAGTTTTTAAAAAGTCATAGTGTAGTATGTGGAAACTTTAATAATATAATGAAAGATGTCATTATATTGACATCTTTCAATGTGATGTCACACACAGTAATATTGATACTGTGTTCATTGAAATTATCATGTAATATTTTGAAAAAGTAATTGTGTAATATGTCAAATAACTTTTAAAATACATTAATGCATGTCGAAAAATATGTGGCAATTTTTGTCATTAACTGTAAAGGTTTAGTTGAAAATATTCATAGTAAAGATTTTTGAAAATATCATGAGAAACACCTCTTTTTTTATCGGAATAAATTCCAATATAAAGAGGTGTTTCTGACTGTCAGTGTAGTTATACCATGCTGTTTATATTTGTCAAAGTGTTCGAGTCACTGGGTCACATAAAATGAAAGATAGTCAAATTAAATGGAGCTTTTCAATAAAGAAACTGCTGAATTTGTATAAGAACATTACGGATTTCAGTTGGCTACATTTTGTTTTACACGGCTGACAGCAGCAGGCAGTCGGTTGAGTCTTATTGTGCATTATACAGTGGCCCTGAAGTGCAAGTCAAAACAGCATTTCAGGAAACACCACAGCATGTCACAAAACACTACAGCATTTCACAAAACACTACAGCATTTCACAAAACACCACAGCATTTCACAAAACACTACAGCATTTCACAAAACACCACAGCATTTCACAAAACACTACAGCATGTCACAAAACACCACAGCATGTCACAAAACACTACAGCATTTCACAAAACACTACAGCATGTCACAAAACACCACAGCATTTCACAAAACACTACAGCATTTCACAAAACACTACAGCATTTCACAAAACACCACAGCATTTCACAAAACACTACAGCATTTCACAAAACACTACAGCATTTCACAAAACACTACAGCATGTCACAAAACACCACAGCATGTCACAAAACACTACAGCATTTCACAAAACACTACAGCATGTCACAAAACACCACAGCATTTCACAAAACACTACAGCATTTCACAAAACACCACAGCATGTCACAAAACACTACAGCATTTCAGGAAACACCACAGCATGTCACAAAACACTACAGCATTTCACAAAACACCACAGCATGTCACAAAACACTACAGCATTTCACAAAACACCACAGCATTTCACAAAACACTACAGCATGTCACAAAACACCACAGCATTTCACAAAACACTACAGCATTTCACAAAACACCACAGCATGTCACAAAACACTACAGCATTTCAGGAAACACCACAGCATGTCACAAAACACTACAGCATTTCACAAAACACCACAGCATGTCACAAAACACTACAGCATTTCACAAAACACCACAGCATTTCACAAAACACTACAGCATGTCACAAAACACCACAGCATGTCACAAAACACTACAGCATTTCACAAAACACTACAGCATTTCAGAAAACACCACAGCATTTCACAAAACACCACAGTACACGCTTCAAAATGATGCCGAACATACTGATACCGGTTAGTAAAAACCATGAATTAATGCTGTGACAAGTGTGCAGACAAGACGGCAGGCGAAAAACCTTTTAAAATGCGTGTTTTCTGAATGGAGATCGGATCGATCAGGATAAACTAACCTGTAGCTGCTCCGTCCAAACTCACAACAACGGCATACAGACATAAATAAAGCAGCGACTGTATTCGCCATGACATAGACAGTCTGTGGTTTGTTCATGTTTAACTTTTGTCCAGTTTCTGAATAGATATGAGGAGCTGTGAGCTCTGTGTGCTAACAGCTAACGGCTGATGTTTCGTGACATGTTGCGCTGTCGGGTGCTGACCAATCGCGAAGCGTCATCAACCAATCACAGCAGTGCTTCTCTGGCTGGCTCTGTCCAATCACAAACAAGAAGTGTTCTCCCTAAAGGAATAGCCTTTCCGTATAAGTTGAAATGCTGTGGTGTTTTGTGAAATGCTGTGGCGTTTTGTGAAATGCTGTAGTGTTTTGTGAAATGCTGTGGCGTTTTGTGAAATGCTGTAGTGTTTTGTGAAATGCTGTGGCGTTTTGTGAAATGCTGTAGTGTTTTGTGAAATGCTGTGGTGTTTTTTTAAATGCTGTGGTGTTTTGTGAAATGTTGTTTTGACTTGCACTTCAGGGCCACCGTAGAATTATGCCAAACTAAACCTAACAATCATAATGCTTACCTCAATCATAAACCAAATCCTGAATCAGAATCTGTAAACAGTGAGAACATACACAATTGTCAATGTGGAGGATTTTGCTGTGATTATCTTTGTATCAGTGGACACACACACACACACACACACACACACACACACACACACACACACACACACACACACACACACACACACACACAAACCAGTTTCTATGAAATCACATTTGCTCAGCCATGACTTACATGAGCAGAAATAGCGGCTTTAAGACACAAATACACACATTCACACAAGTTAATTACAACCACTGTCACTGCCCTATTTTCAATATGTAACTGGGACACCTAAATCCAGCCAGCTGTATTAATGCAAACCTGTGTGTGTGTGTGTGTGTGTGTGTGTGTGTGTGTGTGTGTGTGTGTGTGTGTGTGTGTGTGTGTGTGTGTGTGTGTGTGTGTGTGTGTGTGTGTGTGTGTGTGTGTGTGTGTGTGTGTGTGTGTGTGTGTATTTCCATCCATCTGCACAAATGCAGTCTACCGCTGGAGGCAGAACAGTAGCACGATGGAGAGGAGGGGGTTGGAGAGGGCAACAACAGAGTAACTCCACTTCTGAAGGGAAAGAGAAAAAGATGAAAGCAGCAGGAGGGTAAACCGAGGCGTAGAGACAAAAGGAAACACAAAATAAGATCAAGAGAACAAAATACAGAAAAGATGAGGGGAGGAAGCTTGAGGGGGAAATAACTACACGCTAAATCCA